CTGTGTCAAGCAGTGGACGTCTATGGGCTGAGAGGATGATGAGGATGATGGAGGAACTGGTGTGGTATCCCTCCAGTACAGACAGAGGATCCTCAGCTTCGATCAGCGATCTGCAGCGTCATAGCCCTCGTTCCTAGCGCCTGTGCCATGGTAACCAGACTGCTTATCAACATTCGTACACATTTCTAATTGAACAAAAATTGAACTCACAAATATTTCTGTGTGACAAACCACGGGAAACAAACCTACGAACAGCATAGCAGTTAGGAGCTGGAACCATTAGACCTACGGGCCAGGTGGTCATGTCAATAAATCAATAAATCTATACAAATAAATAAAAATTATATATTTGCTATAAATGGGGTGGTACATGTTGTGGTATTAAAGGTTCAATATATTGCGAACAGGCCCATTTAGCCATAAAGATAGCATGCAAATTTAACATTATTATTATTATTATTAATTTAACATTATTATATATTACTATTATTATTATCATCATTATTCATCAGTGTTTGTGTATTGATTATAATTTCACTTTTATTAATTATACCTACTACTCTCCATCATTCAAAAAGTCTTTGACCGAATAAAATGTATTTGTAATTAACCAATCTTTCAGGGCTGGAATGAACTTATTTAATGGTAGTTCTTTAAATCGTTCTGGGATTTTATTGAAGATTGTAATGCACATCGCGTAACAATTTTTTTGAATTCTTTTCGACCTAGGTACCATGTCCAACACAAGTCTATTTGGATTTCTAATGTTGCTCCTTTTGATGACATCCTTCGCTTGCTTAAATGTTCGAGGGTGCTGTCTTATGAATTTGCATACCTCGAGGATGTATAAGCACGGTAACGTGAGGATTTTTAGTTTTTTAAAATATGGCCTACAAGATACGTCCGGAGCGATATCACATATGGACCTAATGCACCGTTTTTGTGCTATAAAGGCCTTATCTATGTCTGTACCGTTACCCCATACCAACAACCCATACCTTAACACAGATTCGACATACGCAAGGTACGCTGTACATGCTGTAATTTGGCAAGATACTTTTGCCAGTTTGTACAGAGCGAAAGAGAATCCATTTATTCTGTTTGCGATTTTGTCTATATGTTCCTTCCGGTTAAGTTTATCATTGATAACTATGCCAAGAAATGTCGTATTGTTAGCCATCGAGATGCTTAGTCCATTGTAATTTACATGTATGTTATCGTCATTAAAATTATTAAAATTAATTATATGCGTTTTTAATAAATTAATTTGTAAATTATTATAATTCAGCCAATTTATAATTGATGTCAAGGTATTATTGATGTCATTTTCGTGTTGTGCAATTGTCAGATTTTTATTTGTAGTTACTATTACTGACACATCATCAGCAAATAGTATAGTGTTATGGTGAGTAACTTCTGGCAAGTCGTTAATGTAGACCAGGAAGAGTAATGGGCCCAACACACTGCCCTGGGGAACTCCAAATTTATTTAAATCATAGTCGGATCTCCTTACTTCAATACAGTCTTTGGCGGTTAATTGTGTCACACCAACACATTGATATCTATCATCTAGGTATGTCTTTAGCCAATTCAAAGCAGGTCCCCTAACACCATAATGCTCAAGTTTCATCAGAAGCTGCACATGTGAAACAAAATCAAAAGCCTTAGACATATCAAGAAACATCACCGTTGTGTACATTTTTTCATTGACACTCTGAAGGATGTCGTTGACCAAAGAGAAAGCTGCATCTCTGGTAGATCTTCCTCTTTGAAAACCGAATTGGTTCCCCACAATAACACCGTTCATCTTGAAGAAAGATGTAAGTTTCTCATGCATAACTTTTTCAAATATTTTTGAAAACACTGGCAGTACTGTAACAGGGCGATAGTTACTCAGTGTCGTTTTGTCTCCTTTTTTGTGCAGAGGTTTTATAACTGAGTACTTAAGCTTTTGAGGGAAAGTCCCTGTCTCTAACGAAAGATTCACCAGAAATGTAAGCATAGGAGTTAGTTGATAGCTGCACATTTTTACAACTTTTGTACATATAGAATCGTAACCCTCAGATGTTGTATTAGAAAGAGACATAATTATTTTATGTATGAACGACTCGTCTACCGGTGACAAAAACATTGAGTTCTTTTGTTTGTGTTTAGTACATGTATTATGAATGTCGCTATTCAATGTATTAGTTGTTGATATGAAATACTGATTGAATTCATTAGCTATTTGTAATGGATCTGTAATTTTTTCACCTTTTTTGTGTATCTCAGTAATGTAATTGCCCTTATTTGCAGAGCTCGCTTCACTCTTAATAACTGACCAGGTCGCCTTACATTTATTTTTACTATTGACAACATAATCTCTATTTGTTTTTCGTTTAGCTGTATTAATACATTTTTTTAACAGTTTGTCATACCTTAGATAAATATGTTTATCTTTTTTAGATTTAGTGAAATAATATTTATGCCGCAATTTTCTTTTATAACTACAACTTTTACGTAGTCCTTTTGTCATCCAATTATTTTTTTTTGATAACCATATTTTTACCTTAATAATCGGAAAACAAAGTTGATACAATAAGCAAAAGTAATCATAGAATATGTTAAATGCTTCAAGATTCAGATCAGTTTCATTGTAATATTTCAAATATTGAATGCTAGGTAGATACTGACAAAACTTAGTAATATTTTCGATAGAATAACACCTTTTAAAATTAAATACAAACTCGGGTATTTTATTTTTATACATTGCAGGCCATGCGAGTATTTGTGCAGTGTTGTGATCAGATAACCATAAGGGCAGAAGTGACCCTTCTGCAATCCTAATGTTGCTAATAATTAAGTCAATGCACGATTTGCCTCTGGTGGGGTCAGAGATGTGAGATATTAAATTGTATTGTGTTTCTGTTTGTTATGTCAAAATAGTAGGGTTTTTTTTTATACTTACTTAAGTTACTTGCACGGTGCCTATGCCTAAAAAACAGTTTACATTTTTTTATGTCTGTTTGTTTGTTTATTCCGGGTAATCTTCTAAACGGCTGGACCGATTTTGATAAAATTTTACCACCAGGTAGCTGTCTATATAACGAGTAACTTAAGCTATTTTTCCTGTCACAAAAACCCCATAAAATTTTGCCCGGTCCAGGAATCAAACCCACTGAACTGAAGGCAGTGCTTTTCAAATTCCGCCGAACGGGTACCAGCTACGAGTAGTAATTAATTTAATTTAATGTTGATTTTGTAAATAAAAACCCCTATTGATAATTGTTTTCGAGCATCAATACAGATTTTAGCAAAGACAATTTAAAAAGGCGTTTTTTAGAACATTAATGTAATACCGTGGGAGAGCCATGCTTCGGCACGAATTGACCAGCTCGACCGGAGTGATACCACGCCTCACAGAAAACCGGTGTTAAATAATTCTTTCGTTGCCTTTCACTGAGTGAGTTAGGTTACCGGAGCCCAAATGCCTCCTCTCGCTGACTCGAGCGGGATGAACTCCAAGGGCAGCAACGAACTTGTGACTTTTGATTTGCAGGTGTCCATGGGCGGCGGTAGCTGCTTACCTAAGTGACCCGTCTGCTCGTTTGGCCCCTTATACCATAAAATAATAATAATAATGTTCGGGTAGAGGCCTCGGTTCCTCCAAGAACAGCCATTTCGAGTTCTAGCTATTCGACCCTGACCTGCTCTACCAGTTGCTTCCATTCTTCAATCAATTCAATCCTGTTCCGGTACTATAACTACTGCTATATTATGCAACTAATTTTCTAAAAAGGATTTAGAATTTTGTGTAAAAAGTTTCATCCCACCACTTGGATTATTGGCATTCCACCACTGTGCCCTTTTCAAGACACTTTGCCTCGCAATACCAACCTGTGGAACAAGTTATCGTCTGCGGTATCGTACGACCTTTAAACCTTGAAGAAAAGAGCCTACTCCTTCCAAAACGCGCCTGTGACTTCTGAGTTGCAGGCGTTCATGGGCGGTGGTAGTCGCTTTCCATCAGGTGACCCGATCCGGTCTGCTCGTTTGCCTCCTCTTCCATTAAAAAAAAGTTTTTTTACATTCATACACACATACATTCACGACCTATAACCTCGAAGGGATAACAATAAGCTTTTCAAAGACCTTAATTTTTTCACACTTTTTTCATACTTTCTTAAATATATCTCCATATATCTCCATCTCACACACGGCCGTCTGATCCCAAACTAGGCAGAGCCTGTACTATGGTAACCAGCCTGCTGATAAACATACTTATATATTTTTAAAAACACACATATTATAAATAAATTACACCCAGACACAGAACTAATGACCGTACTCATCACACAATATTTGTCCTGGGTGGGAATCGAACCACCGACCTCCGGATTAGCAGTCAGGGTCACTAACCACTAGACCAACAGGCCCGACCAACAAGCGGCAGCTCTTTTAGTTAGGGCAAGTTAGGAACTAAATTGAAAAAAATACATTAGGCATATTAAAAGAACAGGTAGATAAGAAAGGATTAAAATAGTAGAAAATGTATATTGCTTAGGTATACAGATGGATTCAAGAGTGTAAGAACTGCACGGATGGGGAAGCGGTGGGCGGTCAACTCTCATCTTCCTACTACGCTGAGTGTTGTGGATACGATCCCCACATGGGACAACACTTTGTTTGATCTACAAGTTATTATTCTGAGTAATGCTGTCCTTTGTATCCGTTTCATGTATGTGTGTGAAGTCCCCTGCGACACAGGATATATTCCTAGTGCATGAGTTATCTTTTTAAGAAAAAAAAGAAAGAACTCGAGCGATCACATCCATTTGGCTCGAACTTACTGTGTCCTAAGAAAAGTCGAGGTATACTTAGGTACTTACATAGCATAAAATTGCCTAAGTATTGACTGTACCAGGTTATCTAGTACTAACGCTATCTACGTTAAAAAAACGCATAAAAACTTGTCAATCATATTTATTTCGATATATCATTGTACAAAAGTAGTTCTCTGGCTACCACAAGCCGACGGCATCCCGAAAAGTCTTCACAATTCCCTCGGTGTCAACATACTTGACGCCGTTCAAGCTTAACATGTAGGGGTACTTATCAGCAGTTTGGAGGTAGTACCGTCCCTCAGTCCCCGGCTGGCTGCCATACCCCATTAGACTGGAAATAAAGTGAATAAAATACTACTAACACTTTTTAAATGATTAAAAATGAAGAAGGAGGTTTATTGCTGGTAGTTTTTTCCCTTTTTATTATGTTGATAAGGAATTGATGCCTATAAAAATAGAGCAAACTACACAGGACAACAGCACTGCTAAGGGAAGGAAACCTTAACACAAACCCTATACCAACCCGTCTGGCCAGCGTGGTATAGTAGGCCATAACCTCTTCTACGAAGAGGCGTATGCCCAGCAGTCTTCTAGTGAGGGCTGTTGATGATTTTAACAATAAATTACCTAATACTACGAGAATCACAGTTTCCTTCCTGGAAATCCTTCCAACTACGACACTTGATGGCTGGGAACCCTCGAGGGTAGATCACCGAAACGGAGAAGTAGAGCCAGGCTCGGTCGTGAGAGCACACCTGAAACATGCATCCAGGCTGTTCTGTTCCACGGTTCGGGTAATAATCTGCGTGACCTGATGAAGAAATAAATCTGATAAGTAATGAATTTTCAATAACCATGAGAATGAAGGTTCACAAATGACTGCACGGATGGCGTAGTGGTTTAAGTAAGGTTTAACTGCTTAGAGTGTTGTGGGTCCGATCCCCACATGGGAAAACACTGTGTGATCCACAAACTGTTGTTCCGAGTCTGGGTGTTCTTTGTGTCCGTTTTATGAATGTTTGTAATGTAACCCGCGACACAGAACACTGATATAGGAGTTGAGTGAAATACAAAATTACAGAAGTTCAAAATAAAAAGATATTGTTGCGCCATAGGATTAAATGGTTCGATTGTATGGAATGTGGAGGACAGCGTCATCTAGTATCGACCAAGTACATCTATTAAGATTATGGTTAATACGAGTAGTTCTATTACTTACAGCGCTAGATGGCGTTGCAAGTGACGCGTGACTGATTCTAGAAAATTTGTGTTTGTTTGGCACAGACTGTCGAATCCTAGGAACTTTCTGGGAAAATTCAAAAACGCAATAAAAGCGCAGCGTGTTGGCCGTTCGAGACAGTTTCGTTTTACGACACAGCGAATTAACATCGGAGTGAATTTTTAGTGCGACTAACAAGATATATAGTGACTCCTAGTAGTGAGTGTTTGTAAATACAGTGAAATAAAGTAACTAACTAACAACTCTTATAAATTTATTATATACCCCTCTCGTAACAATATCATATAAATAACCGTATTCTAGAGCCCATAGTACCAGCTTATTTGGTTTATTCATATAGTTATGGAAAGAAAGGAAGCAATCGGGAATCAGTGGAGAAGTCAGAATTTGCCTTTCACTCACCGAGTGGGTCCTCCATGCCGAACACTCCGCTGTCAGTGTGGATCACATCAACGTAGTCAGCATCGTTCTTGCTCAACCTCTGCGATTTGTCCATTTCCACGAAGCAGGGCCCTGCGGGGTCCAACCCCGAGATGCGTCCGATGCGAGATCCCGTCAGTCCCAGGACAGTTTTACCAGCGAAGCCTGCTATGTGGGACCCCAGACTGTGCCCCACTAGGTGGACGGCAGCTGGATCTAGGCCGACTGTGGAAGCGATAACAACCAGTTATAATAACGAAATCAATTTGACAAATTATGATACTTGAAGCGACTTTTTATAATATACCAGCTTTTGCCGCCAGTACCACCAGCGTGTATGTTTCCGCAGTAAAAAGTAGCCTAGATATAATTTTGTAGTTTGTGTAAATTTTGTGGTGAAAGAAAATCGGTTTAGTGGTTTAGGGCTAATAGCGTAATAGTAATTTTAATTAATTTGCCAATTTAGTCATTAATGAATGCTTGGGGACGTCTCGAATGCTTGCTCACTGCTTGGGGAGCGTCAAAAAAAACCCACCTTCTTAAGCTCGAACGCAGCCAGCGAGCTATTTTAAAAATAGCATTTAAAAAACCCTGGCGTTATCCTACCAACACACTGTACTCAGAATATTACCTCCTTCGTGTGAGACAGCTTTATATTAACTCGGTACTTCTTCGCTTTCATAGGGTTGCGAAGACCCTTGTGCGAACCTCACACAGAACTCTTAAGTGGGACACACCAAGGGCTCGTTCTGCTTTTGCTCGTCAATCTTTTACATTTATGGGACCCTATCTTTACAACAAATTTTTCAAAAGTAATAATACTATAATAAACCTGACGTCATTCCGCCTTAAAACTACCATTCAAAAATGGTTAATACCTATGGACTATGCTGATATCGAAAATCTGCTAAATATTGTTATCTAATATTACGCGCGCACCATCTTACACCCACACCCTAACACACACACACACACACAAACACACACATGCACACACATACACACACACATACACACACACATACACACACACACACACTCACATACGCATACACACACACACACTATCTTATATCTTTATATGATATATATTTAGTTTTTCTCTTAGCAACTGTACAACATACACAATAAATGCATTACTTTTTTAATTTTTAATACTATCTGAAACTCACGGAAGGGACTGGACCCCACGACACAGGAAATCCTAGTGTGGGGGCCAGAGATATTTTGTTTTAGTACTTAAGTACTCATGTAATTGTGTAAGTGTAATAATGTGTTGTGAACAATTTTTGCATAAATAAAGATTATTATTATTATTATTAAAGAATGCAAATAATAACATTAGTAATTAACCTAACAAAACTCATTGTCTTTCCAAAATATTTTAATCCATCCAAAGGTTGCCTGGAAGAGATTGCTCTTAGCAATAAGGCCCTTTGTACATTGCATGTCTGACATTTTTATGTATTTACTAGCTGACCCTGCAAACGTTGTTTTGCTAATTACATTATTTATTTTTTTTTTTTTTAATTTCTTAAAATCCGTTCTTAGCTGACCTCTACTCGTTGAAAAGAATATGCCTACCAAATTTCAAGTCTTTAGCTCTAATGGTTCCAGAGATATCGTGATGAGTGACTATATACGTGGAAATCTCTTATATAAATATATAGATTACTTGTAAAATAACACATTTTCAAAGGCATCACCTGAAATTTATTATAAAATCCGTAGCTACTAATGTCAAATTTATGACTACTTTCTCTGTTGTTCGTTCAAGGTTCGCTGGAAGAAAACTCAGTTTTGGGTTAAGCTCGCCTTTGTACATGACATTTCCTTGTTACTTATATATATGTATGTGTTCAGTGTGTACAATAAAGAATAAATAAATAAAATAAATAAATACACTACTGTTTTGGTATTATGTATGTGTTTCGGAAAAATAAACTATTTTGATTTATAAAGTAATTACTGCATGTAAATCTACTATTATATTTGCTCCACTATAAACCAGCATTCGACCGGACAACATAACTTTAAGAAGTACCTAAATTGCATAAAAATCAGGTTGGAATGATCTACCTGTCAACGTTTAGAGTTATCTTTTATGATTTGTATTGTATTTCTCCTTGTAAGTGATTTGTGTAATCTTGAAAATAAAGTGATATTTATCCATTTTTGAGAAACCCTGGACCCTGTTACGTCTATCCTGGGTCTGAAGTGAACTAAGATAGGGATATCAACTGGAGGTAATCGATTCTTCTTAAAATTTGATTAAAACATTCGTTTTTAAGAAGTATTTAAAAAAATATAATTTTAAAATACATTTGTGCGTTAAAAATTACATTTAACATAATACTCGTAGATGTTGTGTGTAAGGTATAATGTTCTACAGTCTCTAAACAAATCTTAACTCAGGGTCATTTGTATGCGTAAAACATTTGTGTGCATAAACATTTAATGTTTGATTTGGTCTGGGTGTTTCTATGTATAATATGTATATATTTACAAAAAAAAGTACCTATCTATTTATATCAGTTGTCTAGTACCCATACTACAAGCTCTGCTTAGTTGGGGACTAGATGGCGTTGTGTGAATGTCGTAGAATATTATTATTATAACATGCGTACCTTTCACCATATCAGCAAGTGCTTTGCCCATCGCCTCCCCAATGAATCGTATTATAGTACTGGCACGCAGATAAAGGAAGTCGATGTAGGCGCTCGCATCCAAAGCAAGAATGTTGCCGGCACCTGTTGCAAGCGTCAGACAAATTTTAAACTAATATAAATCACTAGCTGACCCGCGCAACTTCGTCTGCGTCTTTCAATAGTATTAAAATTTGCTCCGTTTTTGAAACATTCTTCATTGCTGCTCCGCTCCAATTGCTCTTAGCGTGATGATATATAGCCTATAGCCTTCCTCGATAAATGAGCTATCTAACACTGAAAGAATTTTTCAAATCGGACCAGTAGTTCTTGAGATTAGCGCGTTCAAACAAACAAACAAACAAACTCTTCAGCTTTATAATATTAGTATAGATATAGATATACATATATAACGGCCGTGTGTGAGATGTATCAAATTATTTTTAATTATTGATTATTTCATGAACCATTTCGTGATTAAAAGAATAAATTTACATATTTTTGTATTTCAATTCTGTTTGTTATTCAGTATTATTGTGCGTAACGAGCAGACGGATCAACTACCGCCGCCCATGGAAACCTGCAACTCAAAAGTCACAAGTGCGTTGCTGCCCTTGGAGTTCCTCCCGCTCGAGTCAGCTGGAGGGGATATTCGGGCTCCGGTAACCCCACTCACTCAGTGAAAAGCAATGAAAGATTTGCTTAACACCAGTTTTCTGTGAGGCCGTGGTAACAATCCGGTCGAGCCGGCCCATTCGTGCAGAAGGTAATTTTGGCCAAACAGTTATAGTCCAATTTTTTTTAAATAAATCTTACCTTTCTCAAGTAAACTATCAACCACCGCCTTGCTACTCATCTTGTCTGGGTTATCAGTGAATCCATGGAGAAAGACGATGAGAGCTTCCTTAGGTTTGAACAGTTCTGACGATGTAATCGATGACAGCTCTGTCAGTTTAAACTGGACCCTTGAACTCCTGCAGGTAAACAAACAAAGTATTAAAGACATACATCATCAGCCTAAACCATGTGTTAACGGAATAAAAATACAGAGGGTCACCACCCCTATTTATCCGAACAAGGATAACAGCAGGACAACAGCACTGCAGAGATTTTTTTTAATAAGTACAATATACCCTCTATTAATACAGTTTTTTAATAAATGTGATACATCATTTATTACGATTATGACATTTTTCTTTTTTAATAAGATTATTGTAATTGTTATTTTAATTGATATTGACATAAAATAGAATTCTGACCTCGTATGATGTATTAAAAAAGCTCAAACTCGTTAGTAATATTATCCTATTGCATGCCTAAAGGTAGGCTGTGTCAGAAAAAAATTTAAACTGTAACACCTAATTGTAAACCCATGTTCGTAATGAAAATAAACTGATTAATTGACTGAGAGAGAAGGAAGCGTGGTCTAGTAGGCTTAAACCTATTTTCTAAGTAGTGGTCTAAGTCTAGCAGTGGACTTAAAGACTGTTAATGTGTGATGTGAACACCTGGAGTGACGCCACGGCTTCACATAAAACCATAAAACCGAGTGAGAGAGGTTACCGGAGCTAAAACTATACCTCCTCCTGATTTTAGAGGAAGTAAGGGGCGGTGGTAGTTACAGGGGATCCGTCTGCTCGTTTGGTCCCCAATGATTTAAAAAGAAAGTGGTCCCTTGTCAAGAAATGAATCAAGCTATCCAACAAATCCCATATATATATTTCATTTGCTCATGTCGTAGGTGGCTAGTAAAGATTGATTAAATCACAATCAATCACCAAATCACATATTATAAATCATAAAATCACACTTGTGATTAATTAACAAAACAACTGCGACTTATGATTTCGCTAGCACCAGTCTAAAGAACAATGGCGGGTCACCATACAAAAAAATATTTGAAATTAAATTGCATCGTCTTGTAGTGAAAAAAATATAAAAAAAACGTTTTTTTCTTAGAATTTATAGAAGAACAATTTTTGTTTCTGAAAGGCTAGGAAAAAAAGATATTAGCTTTTTTTTTTAGATACGTGCTACATTTATTTTATCTAAGGACTTTTTTTAAAAGAGTCCACAGATAAAAGAGTCTTTTATAACGTAGCGGCATTATGTTTAATTTATTTTATCAATTTATCTATGGCTATCGACTTTTCAAATTATAACTGAAAAAGAAAAAGATAATAATTATTATAGACCACTAGCTGTAGAACTTGTGTAGGTTATATTTTTATGTCACTTAATGTGTCTGATGCATGAAATAATCATATTATACTTATGTACATCTACATATATTATATCCAATAAGTATATTCCTTTTCCTTAATTTATTACCTATTTCAACATGTATTGAATTGTAAGTTCATCCGCCGCCTGTCGCGTCAGACTTTGAGTCTTTAAATTTAATTTCAGCACAAACGTCTGTCAAAATAATCTTCGCTTTTTTTTCAGTTTTTTGCCGCTTTATTTTTTTACTTATTTATGTACAACCACAGGATTTTTAAATACGTAAATTATGCACCATAAACTACATTATTTATTGATCAGTACTTACAATTATGAAACTATTATTTGATTACCATATTACTATTAAGTAATTACCATATTACGACACTTTATTGGACAGTATTTCCACTACGTAAAAAAATGGCTGTGTAATGGTAACACTAAATCATCATCATCAACATCAACAGCCTATACTAGTCCACTGCTGGACATAGGCCTCTCCTTAGAAAGGAGGTTTTGGCCTACTATACCACGCTGGCCAGACGGGTTGGTACAGGGTTTGTTTCAAGTTTTCCTTCTCTTTGCAGTGCTGTTGTCCTGCTTAGTTTGCTCCCTTAGTCGGCTCTTACGACACCCACGGGATGAATTGGGGTGGTGACAATTTGTATTCTTAATCCGTCACCACACGGACACTAAATTGATAAAGGAAATTAAAATAATCAAATAAGCTTATTATATGTCTTTCTTTTCCTGGGGTTTTACTAACTTAGGCGATAGTTTAAAAAAAGATATTTACTAGAATTAGTTTCCTATGAATTACATTTTAAGACTCTCAAATTATACTCAACTACGAATTCGCCATATTTCTTTAACTTTAATCAAAAGTTTAGTTTTTTCTTTTTTTTAAGTTTTTGATGGCATTTATCTTTGTGTATGACCAAACCCAAGTAGTGATTTATCACAGTATAAATCGCAGTATATAAAATAAATCATTTTATCATATGATTGCGATTTAAAAGTAGCAATAATCCACTACTGGCTTCTCTTTAACAAATATGAATGTTTTAACTTCTAGGAACATACTTACTTGGTGAAAAAGTCGACGGTCAATAACGTTAAGTTCCGGTCATCCTGTATATTTTTATGATCTAAACCAAGCATCTGTTTTACCTCTTTACCTGCAAAATTAAGAAAGTAAAAAAACATCTGTAACTTCACGAACTAACACAAAACATAAATCGTTAGCTCTGAGATTAAGTTTGGTCTCCATTATGGTTGTAAATTATCTGTTATTTCTTGATGTTACTGTTAAAATTATTTTCTTTATTTGTCTTTTATGGCTTATGTTTTTTTGAAAATTGTTACGATCTGACTAAAACATTAATGCTTACATAACTCTGAGGCCGAAATCTGAAAGGAAAATCTAGAGACATACTAAGCATTAAATTTTGGCCGTTGAGGCTGCTACAGGATGGCCAGATGACAACTGTCCCAATTAAAATGTGCGTCATCAAATTACACCCAAATAAACAAACGAATAAACATGGTCCTTCGAGCGGGATATTCCTTAAGATAATTATGTCCACGGATGAATAAGTTAACTTACATTGGCCAAACATAACAGTCATGGCGGTTTTCTCTACGGGGTCTATGACAGCAGCTACTTCTTTTGTTGCCGCTCCTGCGACACCTCCGAGTGATGAAAAAATGTTAGCAGATGCAGACGACACCAATAAAACTGACAGTAGAAATAGCCAGTGCGTCATCTTGACAGGAAGCTGTTAAAGATACCGTTTTAAGTATAGACATTACTTGAAGTCAGAATTAGTAGATTGATTGATTCGTCACTACTGAATTAAAAGTTTATTTATTTGGGAAAACAAACAATAGTATAATGAGTATACATATGAAATCTTTGTAACTAAACTTAACTAATATACTACCCACTACATTTTCCACAGATTACCTTATAAAATAATTCCATTGTTAGCAGACATGAGCTGCTGCTGCCGGCGCAGTTTAATCAATAAGAAAAGCGGTTACTCAAAACAAAACGTTGGTAACTGAGACAAATAAAGTTTCACTTAAACATTAAAAAGATAAATCAAAATCAACTTTTATTGCCTACTGCCGATCCTTTAGTACCGCTATTATGTCTATTTTAAATTTAATCCTACTAACATGTAATATATCGATTGCACTAAAATGCTTATTGTATGTGTCAACTAAACGGTAAAGAGGCGAACGCAGACCAGAATTCGTTTTACAGCGTCCAGTCGCAAATAGGTGTCTGGCTCGCACACCCCGCCCATGGACTGTTCGAGGAACCAGGTAGCACAAACAATTCACCAAGTCAGGGCAATCAAATTTGTTGCGGCATACACTAAAAAGAGTCATAGAGTCAAGGACTCGTCTGGATTTCAATGTCAACATTTCGTATTTCTTAAGGAGTTGTTGGTACGATATTTTTTTACTAAAACATCTATATTGCATAGAACGAAAGTACCTACGTTCGAAATGAAAGCGGTCTTTATGCAAGTGCTATCTCGGTTGCATTATCAAAAATCGCATTAAAATCAACTAAAGTGTGATAGAAATAAAACTTAAAGCGAAAAAGACAAAAATGTAGTCGAAGAAATACTCACAAGATTCGGAACTAGGAGTAACAGATGATCTGGAACAGTGACTACCTTCCGCACCAATATATCACTGGCCGTATCCTTGCTCAGTATCGCTTTTTTAAACGTCAAAACTAACCAACCAACTAATATTTTTATAATGGCTATCTAACTGTAATGATTTAAAAGACGATTAGAAGACATGTTATAAATACGACTAAGAACAGGTAATATTGTTTTGTAATGTTTTTATCTATATATTAATACATTATGTAATGCATTAAGGTTTGCGGTTAACCAACATATATTGTACTAGAGAGCGTGCTTGTTTAGATACGGCTTTGACGCACATAAGAACTCGTAGCGATTTTAGCGTTGGATCAGCCCTTCCAGTGATCCAGCATAATTTGATCTTGTTGAATCCAGCATCTTGTCTTAAAGTCCACAGTGAAAATCTCAAATTGCCATAAATACTTATAACTTTCTTGAGTTGATCCTTCCTTCAAAAGATTGATTGATAAGAGTGAAAACTGAGAAATTTTAATACAATGAATTGGTTTAATTCTTTATTTTTTTTGCTATTGCATTTTTTACTTTTATATTCCTTATGTATTTTGTGTTCAAATGATTTGACGAAGTTATATGAGCTTTCTTTTTATTACTTACTCAATACAATTTTATTGTACTGCCCAGATGGGTTGGTATAGTGTTTGTGTCTAGTTTGCCTTCTCTTTACAGTGCTTATTGATAAGGCCGGTTTAAAACCAATTAAACCAATGCGTTTAAAACAAAAAAAAAGTTTAAAACCATTTTTTGGTTTTAAACGGTTGGTGTTGATGACTGTTTTTCTTAATAAAAACTATATTTTCTTGATTTTACCGAGTTATATGACATGGATATGACGCTTCAGGTTTCGTGTAGTAGGTAATGTAGGTAGGTACTTTAAATTAAAACAAAACCAACAACCAAATAAAACTGCAGGCCTTAGCATCCAGCCTACGTTCTCTTGTCTACTTAAAAGAGAGCAAACACTGACCTCCGAATGTTTGACGTCTTCGGACCTCCTGTATGAGGTCCGAAGACGTCAAACATTATTTTTACTCTGTTCGCACCGTGCAAGCGTCGGCTCGGCCTTACATAGCATACGAAATAAAACAAAAGACACAAATAATATTGTTAAACGTATATCTATAAAAAATCCCACTTTTCATTTTGATTATTTCTTGCTCAAAGCAATTGAAAAACAGATTTTTTGTAACAAAACACTATTGGTTCTCTGATTACTGACTAATTGACTTTAGCAGTTATAACTTTTTAATCGCGTTGATTAATACATATCAGCTTCACATAATAAATATTTAAATACCGGCATGGCCATATTTATATGCCTACTAGCTGACCCGGCAAACGTTGTTTTGCCATATACATTATTTCTAGGAAATATTTTTTTGGTCAATAAAAATAGCTAACACTATAAGTGTGTGGGGATGTAATAATAATTGAAAGAGGAATAAGGCGTTGTAGATAATTAAAATATTCTTTATTTAAGTTAATAAATTATTCTTTATTAAAGTAACAAATATATATTAAATTACAATTCTTGATAGCTATTTTTACATCGAAAATAGTTACTTCATATTTCTACTATTAATTATAGCAATTAAAAACTAAACAAAGATTAATCTCTCAGCGCCATGGAGTGTGCAATATTTTTGGTCAGTCCCTCTTTAGCCAATAAAAACAAACTGGATGGTTTCCCAAGCGAGAACATGCCACATATTGTCCGTGGGAAAGCATGCAATAGCAGCATGTTTACATGCAATAGTGTAAGCAGCATATGTACCCGAATCTAAGCCACGAACAGACAACGTTTGGCATTGTGACTTATTGATCGTCATTGCGAATGCCAATCTAATTGGGAATTGTATGCGTTTGAATTTAATTGGCACATCTGTAGGAATCATGGGGATTCGTGGCAGCAATACATTTTCACCTCGGAGCTTGCCATTCATAATGCTGGCTTCGATAACGTTTTTGTGACTGATGGGTTCAAATTACGAAGGAAAATAACCGGAGATCCAACCTTCAATTGTAAAAGGTGCGGTGGCATGTCTGGCATATCCAATGAATTCAAAAACTCAATTGGATAATTCACAGCTTCGTTGGAATCGCAAACTGCATCGACAGATTTGTGTGACACCAAGTCTCCTGGCAACAACTGTTGTATCTTGGAATTTAATCCATTGACGTTCACATTTTTTGCCGCTTAAGATTTTTGTATTGTGTATGTACATCGGAATATATGTGGTCGATGAGAGTATTTTGCGAGTTGATACTTGTGCAGAAATCGGTTGGCAGTTTTATGCATCCAGTATTTTCATTACCAATATCTAACAGTTGTTTTGGGAAAGTTTCGGCGGATGGATCCTGAAGCATTTGAACGCGCATGTTCACTGTCAGTTGTATTTTAAGCAAGCGTTGATTTCATCAACGTAGGTACGTTGAACGTGGAATAAGGGGGAATTGTCTGTCTGAAATCACCTGAAAGGAGTAACAGAGTGCCGCCAAATAGTTTGTCGTTGTTTTTTATATCTTTCAATGTCCTATCCAATGCCTCAAGCGAATGTTTGTGTGTCATAGTGCATTCATTCCAAATGATAATTATACACTGTTTCAGCACTGTGGGCATGGACGATTGTTTTTTTACGTTGCACACTGCATCTGGGTTATTTTGAATGTTTAATGACGGCTTAAATGCTGAATGAGCTGTTCTGCCTCCATTTGATAAAGTTGCTGCAATGACAGATGATGCAACGGCCAATGCGATGCCATTTCTTTATCGTATCTCGGCAAGAAGTAGTGAAATAAGGAATTTTTTGCCAGTTCCACGTGGTGCATAAAAAAAAAAGAATCCCCATTGCCAGGGCAACGGGGATTCTTTTCGGGCGGTCGTAAATTGTTTTAATGATGGTAGATTGACAAAGTTACCAATTTCGGCAGTATCAGCGTTGTTCGCAATAGCATCTTGCAAGTGATTTTTTAAATATATTATATTTATTTATTTTTATCTTTGGATTCCCAAATAAATGTTTAAATTGGCATATCCATATTTATATACCTACTAGCTGAGACCCGCGGTGTTACCCGCGTTTGTTGTTATAACCGCGGGCAACGCCGCGGGGCGAAGCTAGTCTAAAAAAAGTAGCCTAAGTTACTCCTTATGTCATCAGCTATCTGCCAGTGAAAGTCCCGTCGAAATCAGTCCAGCCGTTCCAGAGATTACCCAGAACAAACAGACAGACAGACAGACAAAAATTGTTAAAAATGTTATTTTGGCATATCTACCGTGTAAACATACATATGCATTTAGTAAAAAGCGGTTATTTTAATATTACAATCAGACACTCCAATTTTATTTATTTGTATAGATGTACATTTGAGTTCTTTCACAAAATGAAAAATAAAGCCACTTCAGCTTTATTAAATAAACATGAATATGGCAGCTATTAACAATAGAAATTAGATACCACAATTGCAATGCAATGAAACAATGCAGTCAGTCACACATACTAACTTTTAAACTTTCGCGTTTCATGATAATTACTTAATATTATTTAACGGGAATTAACGCGATCTCTTATTTAGGGTATTACATACCTCTAGTTTGCCTGACGTTTCGACCAGGTTGCACCGGCCGTGGTCACAGGGTGACTGGCTCATCGGCGCACGCCCTCCGTCGTCGAATCCGTGAAGTAGAAGGCTCTTCATCTACCCGCACATTTTCGATATTGTTTTTGTGTCGCCATGTACCGTCACATACCACACTAACAGTGTCCCTATTCTGTAAGCAAACCGATGAGTCCCTATTCTGGTGTTTAACCGATTGCGCAGAAAAGCGAGGTGGTATTTTTTTTAACACTGGATTCCACGCTGTAGATAATTTAAAACCATCTTCCCGATTGAAAGTTTTATGCTTTTTAATTTCAATCGCTTCACGTACAACTCTTGAGTAAAAGTGACGTTTGGTGGAGAGGACTTGCGTGCGGTGAAATTCAATCCAGTGGTTGATGCCTGCATCGAGTGCATGTTCTGCAATCGCTGTTTTGCTCGTCTGTCGGTTTTTCACAGCAGCGATATGCTCTTTGACCCTTTCTGCAATAGTCCGCTTAGTTTGGCCTATGTATGAGCTTCCGCAGCTGCAGTCTATTTTATAAACACCCGGAGTTTGTAGTGGCAATATATCCTTCGGTGTGCCGACGATGTTGTGAACCTTTATGCCTGGTGTATATACTGTCGGAATGGAATATTTCTTTAGCACAGACCCGATCTTGTCCGTAACTCCCTTGACATAAGGCATATAGGCCGGTTGCCTGTTCACTGCTGGATACTTGCGTCTTATTTTCGGTTGCTTCCGTCCTCCTTTCACTTGATATCCGTTACCTTTGAGTACCTCCTGAACATGTTTTAGCTCCTGTTCTAAATGTTCAGGGTCACAGAGATCGTAAGCTCTGTTCGTATGAGTAGGTTTACGGTACACACAGTGTGACAAGGACCCATCCGATCTCACGGCTACTTTAACATCTAAGAAGGACGGGTAGATGAAGAGCCTTCTACTTCACGGATTCGACGACGGAGGGCGTGCGCCGATGAGCCAGTCAGCCTGTGACCACGGCCGGTGCAACCTGGTCGAAACGTCAGGCAAACCAGAGGTATGTAATACCCTAAATAAGAGATCGCGTTAATTCCCGTTAAATAATATTAATTGTCAGTCACACATGTCTTTATTGGAGTAAGAAATATTTTAAAGCCAAATACTATTTTAAATTTTATAGTTTTATGAGTAGGTATCACAATTACAAATATTATAAAAAAAGTTTAGATATTTATACAGTAAGAGTATATCATGATAATAATTGCAGTCTTTTTATTGTTAGAAATAATTTAAAATGTTAATCCTGAGCGGTCAGTGCAACCACAGTAAATTTAACTTCATTAGGATCACGGGCCATGAATTCCTCGCAAATTTTAAATGAATCTTCCAAAAAAGAGTCACTTGTAGTTGCCCCATGGTTAATAGGAAAAGCTTTACTGCCATCCAACTCATATAAGACACCATCTTTGTGAACAAAAGTTATAAAGTGATGATTGACAGGTTCTTCAGCATTTGGAGTGTTTGTTTGGCCTTCTTGAGCTAATTCTTTATGAGCATTTATGATGCCGTCACACTCTTTAAATAATTTACCTCTAGATGCAGCATCTAAGGGCTTTGCCTCGTCTAGGAACTTCTTTAAGACACCATCAGACAGTCCTATTTGATCTGTGTTGTTGGCAATACTGTGTACAAGAGCCACTGTTCCACATGCATTACTAACAAGTTGCTTCATGTAGAAGACATCGTTCGCTATTACTTGACCTTTAGACAAAATTTCAGTTTCGTGTTTCTGCTTATGTTCTTTATAGGCTTGAGATGTAGGAAACAGTAATATCACAGAAAGGACCGGGCGGGGGACCCATGCGAGTGCATATGTGTCTAACCCCGTCACATCAACAATTCCCCATTGACTAGGTACACCTAGCTTTTGCAAGAACTTATTCATCACTTCGGGATTTGATTCTAATGGAATTAAGGATTCAGTCACCATTTCTAATGTTTTCTGTAACAGAGAAGTGTGAGGTTACCGGTATTTAATAATAACTTGATGTAGTGTCTATTTCAAATACTAACCTGCGAAGCTCCTTACTAAAATGTATTATTTACCATTACCATTTTAAAAAATTGTAGGTATTGTTGTGGAAAAACTGTCGGCTGTCAGTGTCAGCTCAACAAATTTGACAGCACGTAGCGTAGTATTGCCAAAATGGAATTTTAATTTTCAACACACTTGATGATATTATACTGGTTCACGGACGCTTAAAACAGATTTTTTACCAAACGGCACAAGTACATTAAACGTGTATGTTACCTGACATACAATTTTTTTTAAGTAAAATTAGAAAGAACAGCGTCTTTAAACGGTTTTAATTAAGTGTGTATTTCGGGTGCAACAGTGTAGGTGGAGTAGAGGGGAGCTGAGCGGAGGGTACGAAACGAAGGCAATCTGGACCATGTTTTCTGAATTTATCTGAATGATCTGATCTGAATCATCTGAATGATCAGGACACGGCTCAATGCAGGTTTGGTCTGTTCAGCTCAACTCCACTCTACCCCGCATGGAATTCAATGGAAACACTTACCACCTTATACAGCACCGCGTCAGTGGTAACGCACCCTTAGGTCCGACACTTGTCGAGCATCCGCAAAATACACACGTGAGTCAAATCGTTTATTCTTTATTAATATTAGATAACATTATTAGGTATTGTGAACCTAATGAACAAAATAATCAAATTATAAGATATGTATGTCCCTACCTATGTACTATATATCCTATATACCTATACCTAGTGCAGAACAATCTGATGATTTGAATGATCACGCACTTGTATCAAGCATTTTAAGCGTTTACTTAAATAACAATCTCATATAATGATACTGGACTACGTGCAATAGTGACTTGACTACATATCATTCAACAGCTGTTGATAGCTGATATTTTCCACCTCAATCAACCACGAAATCTAAGTATTTTATAAATCTCTTTTTCCTTGCAGGCCTCTAGAGCTGCCACTGTTGTAAATTTTAGAAAGCTCTATTGAGACCGACTCCATTCACATCCAGAGATTGCAGATGTTCGTGTCATTGACCCTGGCATGGCCACCATCACGGATTAAAATTTTAATAACACCAAAATTTAGTCGCTAAATTGGTCAAATTTGTCCCCAAAAATCAGAACATGTCGGTCACTGGTTCAAAAGTAATAAGCGTTTATAGGGGCCCCTGCTGGAGTCAGTCTGTTATCGCGGTAAAATGTACGTAGCCTATGTTACTCGCTGATAGTTTGCCATTGCTGCAAGAATTTTTAAATCGGTTGTCGTTTAGACGTGAAAACGTAACACTCACTTTAATATTAATAATATAAGTGAATATAAGTATGGATATCTATACTAATATTATAAAGCTGAAAAGCTTGTTTGATTGAACGTAACGCGTTCAATCAAACAAGCTTTTCAGCTTTATAATATGTATATGTTGCTGTTGTCCTGCTTAGTTTGCTCCCTTAGTCGCCTCTTACGACACCCACGGGATGAATTGGGGTGGTGACAATTTGTATTCTTAACCGTCACCACACGGACTACCATACACCATACTAATATTATAAAGCTGAAAAGCTTGTTTGATTGAACGCACTAATCTCAGGAACAACTGATCCAATTTGAAAAATTCTTTCAGTGTTAGATAGCCCATTTATCGAGGAAGGCTATAGGCTATATATCATCACGCTAAGACCAATAGGAGCGGAGCACCAATGAAGAATGTTTCAAAAACGGAGAAAATTTATTACCATTGAGAGACACAGACGAAGTTGCGCGGGTCAGCTAGTATATTATATTTATTTATTTTTATATTGGATTCAGAAATAAATGTTTAAATTGGCATATCCATATTTATATACCTATGTACATTTGAGTTCTTTCACAAAATGAAAAACAAAGCCACTTCAGCTTTATTAAATAAACATGAATATGGCAGCTATTAACAATAGAAATTAAATACCACAATTGCAATGCAATGAAACAATGTAGTCAGACACACATGTCTTTATTGGAGTAAGAAACATTTTAAAGCCAAATACTATTTTAAATTATATAGTTTTATTGAGTAGGTATCACAATTACAAATATTATAAAAAAGTTTAGATATACAGTAAGAGTATATCATGATAATAATTGCAGTCTATTAATTGTTAGAAATATTTAAAAATGTTAATCCTGAGCGGTCAGTGCAACCACAGTAAATTTAACTTCATTAGGATCACGGGCCATGAATTCCTTGCAAATTTTAACTGAATCTTCCAAAAAAGAATCAGTTGTAGTTGCCCCATGGTTAATAGGAAAAGCTTTACTGCCATCCAACTCATATAAGACACCATCTTTGTGAACAAAAGTTATAAAGTGATGATTGACAGGTTCTTCAGCATTTGGAGTGTTTGTTTGGCCTTCTTGAGCTAATTCTTTATGAGCATTTATGATGCCGTCACACTCTTTAAATAATTTACCTCTAGATGCAGCATCTAAGGGCTTTGCCTCGTCTAGGAACTTCTTTAAGACACCATCAGACAGTCCTATTTGATCTGTGTTGTTGGCAATACTGTGTACAAGAGCCACTGTTCCACATGCATTACTAACAAGTTGCTTCATGTAGAAGACATCGTTCGCTATTACTTGACCTTTAGACAAAATTTCAGTTTCTTGTTTCTGCTTATGTTCTTTATAGGCTTGAGATGTGGGAAACAGTAATATCACAGAAAGGACCGGGCGGGGGACCCATGCGAGTGCATCTGTGTCTAACCCCATCACATCAACAATTCCCCATTGACTAGGTACACCTAGCTTTTGCAAGAACTTATTCATCACTTCGGGATTTGATTCTAATGGAATTAAGGATTCAGTCGCCATTTCTAATGTTTTCTGTAACAGAGAAGTGTGAGGTTACCGGTGTTTAATAATAACTTGATGTAGTGTCTATTTCAAATACTAACCTGCGAAGCTCCTTACTAAAATTTATTATTTACCTAATCAATACACACACTATTGATTTAAAAAATTGTAAGTACCTATTTGTTGTGGAAAAACTGTCGGCTGTCAGTGTCAGCTCAACAAATTTGACAGCACGTAGCATAGTATTGCCAAAATGGAATTTTAATTTTCAACACACTTGATGATATTATACTGGTTCACGGACGCTTAAAACACAATTTTTACCAAACGGCACAAATAGGTACATTAAACGTATGTTACTCGGTTGTTTTTAAGTGTCATTAAAAAGAATTGGATTTCACTTTCGTGCGTTAAGGGCATTGGATTTCACTTTCGTGCGTTAAGGGCAGTGGACGTGTCAATTGTCTGTGCTGGCGAAATTCTGTGATTGGTCGATTGTGGTTAGATTCAATTCCTTGTCTCACATTACCTGTTCTTACCTGAGGGATCCTCCCACTGGGTGGTCCTAGAGCGAGATATAAATAATACTACGGTTGACTCCTCAAAGTGAATTCGTAAAAGTGTGTGTGAGTGGGATTTGATCCGGCCCCCAACAGCGACAGTGGCGGGGACTCTCGCCGCTAACACACGGCGCCACCGGGACAGTTACTGCAGATCGTGAAATACCTATGCGCTACGGGAAGCTTACGTCGTCGTTGCTACGGAAGAATCCTCGCGCCGCTACGGGCCTTCTACTAAAACGGTATATGCTACGCCTCACATACATAAATTTGCTAATAAACTGATTATCTGCATTTCAAGTGCTATTAATTTATAATATACTATATTATAAAGCAATACAATAAAAAATAGCTTCTGTTGATTTGAAATATGGCAGGAGTACAGCGCACACCACCGAGTACGTTGAGACCTAAGATTGGTAGTATTTGCCAGGCGGAATCACAATCTGAACCCGATATCTCCGCAGCCATAAGAGTAAGCGACTCTGTTAAAGTTAATAGAACTAAACGTGCCCGCAAGGATAACTCGCCGCAGAGTGTTTCAGTTGAAACAAGCTCGTTTGACCTGCATGATACTCTTATTAATTGGAAGAAGGAGCAGGATAGTGGTATTGCTAAACAATTGGCCGAACAAACAGCCTTAATATCTAAGCTATCCTTGGATATAGGAGACATCAAAACCCAAAACAACCAAATTAAAGCATCCAATGCAGAAATCAGTAAGACAAACACGGAAATCACTCAGTCCATCAGCTTCATTAATAAGCAGTTTGAAGAATTAAAAACTGAGGTGGAAATTCTGAGAGAAGAGAGACGCGAACAGCAAAAATATATCGAACATTTAGAGTATAGAATACTTGACCTTCAGCTGAAATCGAGATCTTCTGGCATAGAACTGCGTAACATCCCGCAAGAAAGCACAGAAACTAACACCAGTCTCAAAAAGACGGTATGTAACATTGGTGAGGCCATTGGCGTACCTATAACAGCAACAGAGCTTCGTGATGTATATCGCCCCCAAGGAAAATCTACCTCAACTGCACCACGTCCAATAATTGCTGAATTCATTACCGTGCAAGCCAAACAGTCATTTATATCATCTGTGCGAGCGTACAACAAAGGAAGGGGGAAGGAAGAAAAATTGAACACCGCCATCCTGGGAATGTCTGGTGACATTCGACCTGTATATATATCGGAGTATCTTCCATTGTATACCAAAAAGCTGTTCTATTTAGCACGCGAGTTTGCCAACAAACACTCCTACAAGTTCTGCTGGATATCTAATGGAAACATATTCCTGCGCAGGAAAGAAGGGGACAAACAAATATTGGTAAAGAATGAAAAGTGTCTTAGTCTTCTTGAACATCAAAACGGTTGCAAGTGACTGGCACACAATTTGTTTATGTTCCTTATAATATTATTATTATGCATGTTCAAAGTGTCTTCTTTTAAATGGTTTACAATTGTGGTATTGGATCTTATTTGCAAATACGCATTTTTGTTAATTTCAAACTCAAACACTAAACACGTTATTCATGTAATTAAAAGAAAGAACATCACAGAAGAGTATCATACTTTAACACATTATAAAACACACACAGAAACCACATATTACTTCATAAACATTTCTTTTTATAATATAAAAACCGCTCAATACACAACGTCTAAATATAAATGTTATTATAGTTGTTATGCTTGTATAAATAGTGATATGGTACCTATTATTTCTATTAGTTACTGTTTTGTTTATCTAGGTAAAGAATGCAATCATGTCATGTCACGCCTTGTATATAGAAAAAAAAAAAAAAAAAAAAATCGTTAATGTTATCACTAACCTAATATGTTATTCTTTTTAAATTCGATAACTTCAATGATATAATTTCAAATGAAATAGACAATAGCGACGCTCAAGTTAGCTGTACACTTCTTAGTGACACCAAATTTTGTCTACAGGCGATTAATTATGTTGCCAGTGACAAAAATTCACTTTCAATCCTAACTTTAAACATTAGAAGTATTCACTGTAATCTGGACTTCTTTCTTGCGTTTGTCTCGGCACTTAATTTTCCAGTTGATATGTTTGTACTCACTGAGTGTTGGACTTCTGAAAATAATCCACCACCCTTTATTAATAGTTATGATGTGTTTTGGTCTAAAAATACAATTAATCAAAACGATGGCATAGTTGTTTACATTCGGGAAGAGATAGGGGCACAGTCGTACGAACCTGTTTTTTCCGAGGGAAATTGTCTTCTCGTTAATATTTCTCCTGACTACACTATAATTTGTTCGTATAGACCACCATGCTTCAAAAATACTACAAATTATTTAAGCTCGCTTGATCAAGTTCTTAATAATATCCACTCTAAAAACATTGTGCTTACTGGTGACATCAACATAAATACTTTGGACGATACGGGTGAGCCAGTACAAAGTTACTTAAACTTACTGGCTATGTACGGGCTAAGACAAGGTATAACAAGACCTACTAGACTTAATAATTGCCTCGACCACTTCATGGTGAAAGCGTGCAACGACTGGAAAACAATAGTTTTTGAACAACAGCTCACCGACCATTGCCCTATTCTACTATACATTAAAGGTGCACCAATAGTTAGAAAAGCACTGAAATATAAGAAAACAACTATTAACTACGCAGATATAAAAGTCTCGCTGATGAAAGAAACATGGATTGACCTGTACACAACTGATGATGCCAATATGGCTGCGGAATTAATAACAAACACACTATCAACAGTAATTACTACCAATACTCAAACTAAAACAGCCTCAAAACGGTACACACCTCTAAAACCGTGGATAAACAAAGGAGTAGTTAAATCTATAAGGAAAAGGGACAAACTTCATGCACAGCACAAAAAAACACCACATGACAATAATGTAAAACAAGAATATTTAAACTATAGAAATACATGCAATAGACTAATTAAAAACTTAAAGAGACAGTATTACGAACACCGGTTAGAGAAAAACGGTAGCAATTCAAGAGAAACATGGAAAATTATTAAGGAAGTTTGTAGTTTTAAAAAAAAAAATGAAGCCTCGAACGACCTCATAAACATCAAAACTACACCGGTTGATTCCCTCAATACTGTTAACTCCTACTTTACTACGGTTGGCGGCACTTTAGCGAACAGTCTACTCAGTAAACTCGACAAAACTGAACAAGATTTGGCATCAATGGCAAAAACATTTGACACGCCGGTTGGATCGATGTCTTTGACTCCAACAGACCCCCAGGAAATTTCCAAGATTGTTCTTGGAATGAAATCTCATAGTGCTCCCGGTTGGGACAAAATTACAACTGATATACTCAAACAAAACATCACAGCCCTAGCTCAACCTCTTAGCCATCTATGTAATCTGAGTCTCGCCACAGGTACTTTTCCCACCATTTTCAAAAGAGCCATTATATGTCCAATATACAAGTCAGGCACAAAGGACAATCCCTCTAACTACAGGCCCATATCCTTACTGTCTACGCTGTCTAAAGTAGTAGAAAAGCTAGTGAATAAAAGACTCGTCTCTTTTTTGGAACAAAATAAGCTCATTAATGAAAACCAGTTCGGCTTTAGGGAAGGCAAATCAGCTGAAGATGCAGTGCTGAAATTGACATCTGTGTTGACCAAATACATGGACAAAGGAGAGAGGTGCATTGGTGTATTTTTGGACCTACAAAAGGCCTTTGATACAGTATCAACTAAAATCCTATTGACTCGGCTGGAGAATATGGGTATACGAGGCTTGGTGCTTGATTGGTTTAAAGGTTATCTATCTAATAGGAAACAGAGGGTTCGGGTGGGAAACTATGACAGTGATAGTGACTATTGCACATTCGGGGTTCCACAGGGAAGCACCCTGGGACCTACTCTGTTTCTAATATATATAAATGATCTACTGAATGTAACCCTCCCCCACGTGGAACTCCTTATGTTTGCTGATGACACTGTATTGGTATTCCACGGCAAGAACTGGGATATGATGCGTCAGGAGGCTGAGAATGGTCTAGCTGTAGTAACCCAATGGCTTGAAGATAGCCTTCTCTCACTTAACACCGCTAAAACGAAATACATCTGTTTCAGTAAATCCTACCGGTCTGATCCCTGTCAGAACTTTGCACTCATAATTCACGAGTTTCCATGCAATAGAGCTAAGGTACGGTCTAGCTGCTCCTGTCCTTTGTTGTCTAGGACGCGCTCCACGAAGTACCTTGGTATAGCACTAGATGAGAGACTTGACTGGGGCGCTCACATGGTTGCACTAGCTGGGAGGGTTAGAAAAATGATCTTTATATTTAAGAACTTACGCAGTGTGGCCAACCTAAAACTTTTAATGCAAACGTATCGTGCCCTGTGTGAGTGCCTAGTCAGGTATTGCATCTGTGCTTGGGGTAGTGCGTATAAAACACACCTAATAGGAGTTGAACGTTCACAACGCGCTGTACTTAAGGTTATAATGCGCTTACCTTATAGGCACCCAACAGCAGCCGTTTACGAAAAGGCAAATGTACTTTCCGTTAGAAAACTTTTTATACTGGAGATGTTGAAAAGATACCACAGAGATATTATCCCTATCCTACCTACCACAACTAAACGTGTTGACCGTTGCCCTGCTAAGAGTGTTAGGACTGTCTTCGCACAACGTCACTTTGATGTTTTAGCGCCTAAGATGTATAATATATTTTTAAAATATCACAATAACTGCAAAAAGTACACCACATCTAAATTTAAAAAGGAACTATTTACCTGGCTTAGACAATACAGCTATGATGAGGTTGAAACGATGGTTTCCAAAAGACTTATTTGAAATATACACACACACACACACACACACACACACACACACACACACACACACACACACACATACATACATACACACACACACACACACACACACTAGTGCAAGTTACACTACCTACACTTTACACACGACACAAATACACGCCCCATAATGTCTGCTTGTTTGTAAATAAGTAAATCAGTTTCTTGTCTATTTTTTTTATTTTTATTTTTCGGTTTGATTGTAAGTTAGCTTGCTCTGTTTTGTGAGTAAACCACTTTCTTTTGTATTTATTGATTTTGTTGACATAACTTAATATAACATGTAACAAGGTGAAGTCACTGGGTCCTATAATACAGTTCTTACTAGTTTAGGAGCCAGCGTATTTATATTATTTGTAACACTCTTATGTCAATAAATATTTCATTTCATTTCAGAATAAACGGTTTTAATCAAGTGTGTATTTCGGGTCCCTCTTTGAATCTAGAACGAGTTGGGCACGTGAAAATATCAGCGTCTGACATCGAAGACGCGGTAAATTGCATTACATCTTAAGGTACATACTCTAGGGTGCGTTTTCACTGACTAGGAGCTGGACGGAGTGGAGGAGCGGACTAAGAATTGGCCAAAAATTTTGTGGTATCAAAATTAAAATCCATGATGGTGGCGATGCTGGTCAGTGACACCGGAGGTTCTCCTACTTTTGCTTATAACTTCGTTCTAGAGTCTACTATCCACTACTTTTCAGTACCATTTCGAGGCAGGTTGATTAATTCAATGCAACTAGTTCTCTGTAAAAAAGCATTATTCTAGTTTTGCCCGCGAGTATGTTAACGCGGTAAAATGTACGTAGCCTATGTTACTCGCTGATAATGTAGCTTGTCATTGCTTCAAGAATTTTTAAATCGGTTGTCGTATGAATATCTATACTAATATTCACATCATCATCATCACATCAACAGCCTATACTAGTCCACTGCTGGACACAGGCCTCTCCTTGGAAAGGAGGTTTTGGCCTACTATACCACGCTGGCCAGGCGGGTTGGTATAGGGTTTGTTTCAAGTTTTCCTTCTCTTTGCAGTGCTGTTGTCCTGCTTAGTTTGCTCCCTTAGTCGCCTCTTACGACACCCACGGGATGAATTGGGGTGGTGACAATTTGTATTCTTAACCGTCACCACACGGACTACCATACACCATACTAATATTATAAAGCTGAAAAGCTTGTTTGATTGAACGCACTAATCTCAGGAACAACTGATCCAATTTGAAAAATTCTTTCAGTGTTAGATAGCCCATTTATCGAGGAAGGCTATAGGCTGTATACCATCACGCTAAGACCAATAGGAGCGGAGCACCAATAAAGAATGTTGCAAAAACGGGGGAAATTTATTCCTTTTAAAAGACTTAGATGAAGTTGCGCCAGTCAGCTAGGTATGAATACAGCAAAAGAAGTAAAAGGTCGACGTTTATATACAGGGCGTAAGGGACGTCGTAACGAATACTGAAAGAGTGTATTCAAACCACCCTTCTGAGTCGAATATCATTGGAATTTTCTGCCGGAAAATTTATAACTTCTTTTTGCAATTTTCCATTTCTTAGTTAAAAATAATATCACAATGAGTAAACAGAACATTTCACCAAAAAAAAAACTGCTTACGACCAAAAATTGCAATGTAATTAATGGGAGAGGCCGCGGCTCGTTTGGATCGCGGCTTTGATTTTCATAAATGACGACGTTTGTGGAGCCCTTTGGTTAAAAACTTTAATAATAATAATATTCTACCACATACACACAACGCCATCTAGTCCCAAACTAAGCAGAGCTTGTACTATGGGTACTAGACAACTGATATAAATACATAGATACTTTTTTTTGTAAATACATACATATTATACATAGAAACACCCAGACCAAATCAAACATCAAATGTTAATGCACACAAATGTTTGACTTGAGCGGGAATTGAACCCGCGACCTTTGGAATAGCAGTCCGTTACACAAACCACTACGCCATCCGGTCGTCGCAAAAAGGAACAATAGTTTTAAAGAAATAAAACTCATATAAAAACAAAGCATTGTTTATTTGTAATATCTAACTCCTCCACGTTACCGCGTACTGCAGGGCCACTTGATACAAAAATAAACATCTACAATAAATATAATCTAAACTCAACTTGTGTACATTGCTAACAAATATATTGGTAACACAAAACATATCCATCTTTTACACTAAAATATTATATATTTACTTTACGACACACAAAACCAATTTAAACACGTCTCTGAAGATTTTTATGGACCACATTTTTCTGTGACAATACCGTAAAGTAAAAAAATTAAATTAAATGAAAGCTAGACTTATCCATCAACGAAGTGAATGACAAGAAAGCTCTGAGCGTATGACACGAGCAATAAATCGACTGGCTATATGAATATTCATCAACAGCCTTTAATAGTCCACTGCTGGACATAGGCCTCTCCTTAGAAAGGAGGGTTTGGCCTACTATATACCACGCTGGCCGGGTGGTATTGGGTAACAAGCTAAATTTGTTGACTGTAGAATTTCTTATAATGAATTTATCCTTTTAACTTATTTAACACATAATACGACAATAAACTCTATTTGTTTTTGGGAAGACATTGACATTCTGTGTACAACTTCTTAAAGGTGTCAGCAGAAATGTATTATTGTTAACAATATGTTATTGACAGAACAATGTACACAAGTGTGGTCATAAATTAACACAAAACAGAATATACCGTACAGACAAAGGAAAAAGAAAATTATTACAAACATTTCAGTTTCCCAACAACATTTATTAACATCCACTTTTTGTCTGTACTTTATAATATCAATTCGTCAATATTTATTGATATTTGATATAATAAACTGCAATTTAAATTTATTTCATCCATACATTTATCGTATCCAAGAACAAAAATATAATAAAATGTCATATTAATAAGAAAATGATTACGTTTTGTAGTAATACTTCTCACAAAAAGATGTTACGACGTCTCTTAACGTTAGAGAACACATAAAAACGTGAATATCCGTAGTTATGAATGTGACACTCGTGTATAGACGTCGGCACAATTTATTCAAGTAATCACAACAAATCGCGACAGCTGATACATAAAATCTTATTTTAAATCAGCGTTAAACTTAATTACTAAAATAAACTTTTATACCTAGCGTGTATGAAATATATTAATATAATAATAAATTGTACAGTAATCAGTATCATTTCAACTTATTTCAACGACGATTTGGTCGATTTTGTGAGCTGAGTGTGACTCGTTACAGTTGTGTTCTGAGTTACTATGTTACTTTTGTGCGAATGAAATCGAGCTATATGGAATATATTTGGATATATGTGGGGAGAGGCTCGCAAAATTGACCGAATTGTCACATTAATCTTAACACAATAATATTATAGTAAAAAAGGAAACAAACACTCAGTGTCATGATCTAGCGAGTAGAATACTCCTATATTAAGTTTGTGAACTATGGAATGTTCGATAAACGTGTCAATCGCGAACAGCTCTAACGAAATGTTCTCTGGCCTTAGTTCTAAACATTGACCGACTAAGCTTCATACATACGACGGTGATCGACAAAAGACCAAATAATAATTAATAAAAAAAACCCAGCCTCGCAGTGGTTGCAGGTGATGTGTAACATCTGAAATGTCACCTACCAATTGTAGCACCGAGCGCTTCTCGGGCGATGGAAGGGAAGTGTTACACAATTCCGTCCCTTTTTTCGACATCACTCTCACAGATTGCAAGAAAGCGAGAGCAAAGATGTTACAAATAAAAAAAAAAAAATTACAAGTCACTGATATAAATAACAGTTACCATATTAGAGTGAAGTTTGATATCGATAAAATACCTAGTGTAGTAAATATTATAATAGTCATTTTAGAGTCAATAGAAGCTGAAAGCGAAATTTTTAAGATATAATAAATATTGGAAATTCAAGATAACAGATTCAGTCGATCACCGACCCACCTAGCCAAAGCTGCCAACTAACATTACATATAAAACGGAGCGGCCGCCAAACCGCGTACAGACGTACTGTAAAATGTACCCACGTACTCGTACCTACGCCCTAAGTATAGCACCTAATGGTGAAATAACACCCACATACTAGCTACAGAACACCCGTTACAAAGTACTTGTTATTCACAAAAGTGATACGTTAAATATCTGTTACAGATACTTGGTACTAAACACTAAATTAATTAGTTTTTATTAGACAGTTGGTCTGTACCTAATATTGGAGTGCAGATATAATAAAGTCAATTTGCAATTGCAACACGTCAATAATATATTATTTAAACATATATTTTTGAAGTTCTCAATAATACCTGTGATTTATGAATACCATTATGGATACTTTATCGTGTGATAAAATCACAGGTATATCGATAAATAACCGATTAGTCCCGCGCTACATTGTATATTGAATTGTTCAAATAGAAGGGAGGAAAAATATTTATTTTTTTATAATTTTATATCTAAAAACGGTGGTCTAACTCGTGTGACAATGATTTAAAGCTATTCGGTTATAGACAAAATGATTTCTTGTGTCTTAAACGTGGCTGGAAGTGGGTTCATGTTAAAATATCAAGTCCTACAAATTTTATTTTGATATTTCAAGGGGGCACAATACAATATGGAATTCTTAAATGGCAGTGAAGTCTTCACTATCAAATGATGAGAAACAACTATTTTGAGCAAATTGTGAAAAACATCATCCAGCCATATTTAAAAGACAAGATATAAGAACACTTTTTAAATATATATTTTTTACTATGGCAACATTTATATCTCTACGAAGCCAGATGCCGATCCAGATTGTATGAACTGCCTTAGCCTAAGCTTAATTTAAAAAAAAAATGCTGAAATACTTAATTATAATATTTTACATTACAAAATTGCATTTTCGTGTGAGGGTAGGTCACCGATATAGAGTCGCATAATAGATAATATTAAGAATATATTAACGAAAGTGGTGTAGTTACAATTTTTGAACACTATTTAGACAGGAAGTCGTATTTAAAAAGTGATATTAGGAAATTAACGTCCATTTTTATACTAAGTATTAGGTACACTACCATATACCTGGTATACCTAATATTGTATCAGAAGTACGTAATTATACTTAGAATAGCATTTCCAAACGTATAGCTTTAGTATTAAGGTTCAATTTGATTAAATGATAGTTCAAAATTTCCAACTACCCACAACCTCCCCGCATTACCATAGAGTGCTACACGTGACAACATCGAATATTAAATATAATTAACATTTTATTATAATTAAATAACTTAAGGATTACTATTCGCATCATATCGCTTAAAACTAACCTACACTACATAACAACTGCACTAAGAACGTACCGAAGTCTTCTGTCTCTTTTTAATTCTGTTTAAACTCTCGGAGCTCCCGTTCTATATCTGCAGTTGTCACGTAGTACGTACATGTACAGACGTATCCGTTAGGACGTTAAGGTTGCGTGCTCTGTTGCTGGATTTCGATCTTTTCCACCGTCATGTCAGGATTCATTGCTGTTGCCTCCTGACAATAGAAGAAGCATAATATTAGACATAGGTTAGGGTACAATGTGGGAGGATGTCCGGATGTCTTAAAAACAGCAGTTCTATAACAGGCGCAGAGTTGCACACAGTGTGGTTTTAGTCGGTCCCATTTCGACACACCACCCCGCCGTAAAACCCTGGTGGGGTGACGGCCCGAGGGGGTTTCCACACGTAAAAAATACACAATGGTTTTTTTATTACTATCTGAATATAATCCTCAGTTAATCAGCATTATCGTAGTGTACGGTGTACATTAACAGACATAGTCCTAAACGCTTTGTTCTTTAAATGGTCTGTTGTATATGTATAAGTAAATAAGAATTTTGATTAATTAATAAACGCTGGATGCGAGAAGCCCAAAATCGATCTAGGTGGCGTGCAATGGGACAGGATTATGTCCAGCAGTGGACTGCGATAGGCTGATGATGATGAATAAACCTCTTGCTTTGTATTTTGAATTTGATTACTTTTTCCTTCTTTGATACAGGCGGTCTCCAACTTTTGGCCTTGGTATATTGGCCTTGGTATTATAACTAGCTTGTGTCTTCGTTTGCGTGGAAATCGAAAGGCGCTGCCTTAGTGAGTACTATTCCCGGATCGAAAAAAAATTATAGTGATTTTCTGAGAGAAAAATAACCTAAGTTACTCCTTATATAGACAGCTACCTGGTAGTAAAATATTATTATTACTATTTTTTTTTTTTTTAAAAGACAACTCCCGCATTAGGAATATATCCTGTGTCGCGGGGGACTTTACAAACATACATGAAACGGACACAAAGAACACCCAGACTCAGAACAACAATTTGTGGATCACACAAAGTGTCGTCCCATGTGGGGTTTGAACCCACAACACTCGGCGTAGTAGGAAGCGGCGTGGCGACCGCTTAAACCACTACGCCATCCGTGCAGTCGTTTTGAAGATTACCCGGCACAATCAGACAGACAGACTAAAAAAAAATTGATTTTTAGGCATAGGTATCGTGCAAATAACCGTGTGAGCATGAAAAATACCAATTATTTTGACATTACAAACAGACACTTCAATTTTATTTATTTGTATATGTATTATTTCCTTCAAAATTGTCTAACCTGTATGGCCTCCGCGAGTGCTCGGTCGTGGTCGATTGGGTCGCCGTCCGACTGGATGGTGATCTTCTGTTCTACGCGCGTCTCGATCACACCGTTACGTTCCGTCTTGTACTGAAATGTAAAACAAACACTGAGTACACAAGTTCTAACAATTTTTTTTTACACGCTTTATATTAGCTTCACTTGTATGTTTGTTTGTAACCTTTTTACTATTGATAGCAGGCACCCAACGCTTTTTTTTAGTTTGATTTTCTATAAAAAGCGTGTTTTTAGTTTTTTTTTTAAATATTTTTTTTTATTTTAAAGACAACTGCCGCACTAGGAATATATCCTGTGTGTAACGGATACAAAGAACACCCAGATTCAGAACAACAATTTGTGGATCACACAAAGTGTCGTCCCATGTGGGGATCGAACAATATAGTCGATATAGTCGAAATCGATATAGTCAATACTTTGATTTATTTTAATGTGCTAATCTTAAAATTATTTTTATAATAAATAGCATATTTTTAAAATAATTTAAAGGTTATTTGTTAAAAGTTGAGTGAATGAATGAACTTATGGTCACCCATGAGTCTTGATCTAGCAAATCACAAAACTCTATTTCAAACACTTAGAAAAACCTTAAACCTTACTAGTAACTACTATGATAAAAACATAAACAAAACAAAACATAATTAGAAAATGCGAGAAAATATCTGTTTTCTCATAAATTATAATAGATATCATTGCAGTGATTACTTGGATTAAGTACATTGTAGCTCCCACCTTGGAGTCGCCTAGAGTTTTTTTTATACTTTCACAAAACTCACAAACAGCCATCCGATCCCAAACTAGGCAGTCTGTACAATGGTAACCAGACTGCTGATAAACATACTCGTACTTATATATTTCTAAATACGTACATATTTTAGAAAAATTAGACCCAGACAGAACAAATCATCGTGGTTATCACACAATTATTTCTCCTAGGTGGGAATCGAACCCAGTTTAGCAGTCAGGGTCACGAACCACTAGACCAACACACCCGTCACATGACGACGGCCCGTTTACCAGGACTGCCAAGCCATTATTTGTGTGGTATGATAAGTAGATAGTAATTATAACTAAAACACATCTCACACACGGCAGTCTGATTCCAAATGGCTACTCCCTTACCGTGATAGTCTCGACGGTGCGTGTCTTGGAGCTGATGGTTTGAGAGGACACTACCTCTCCATCGGGGCCGGTCTCCAGCGTTTCTTGCGTTTCTTCAGTCACGCTGGCGGGTACTTCCGCGGGGCCGGTGCTAGTCTGTAAGACACAAAAGGTACTACTGAAACAGTTTGCTAATATTAAGGGCATACACAGGCAAGGGCATACAAGGGCACAACTGGATAACTTTTCTATTCTTAAGTTCAGTACATTTTTTGGATATAAATACCTAACATCCAAGAAAAAGTTTGTTCGTCATCCTTTTCTATACTCCTGACGTCTATATAAAAATATATTGATAGGTAATCGGTTTAGTAGTTATGGCGTAATAGCATAATTAACAAACCGACTTAATAACAACATTAATTAAGATACGCTGATTATAGCAATAACGAGTCATATTAATAACCTAACACATCTTACATAATATGGTCGTATGATCCCAAACTAGGGACACTACTACTGAGTACTGTGGTGACATACAGGCAGCCAGTTTCTCTGCGCAATACATGGCGCAGGCGCACGCAAGCTCGGACAGTTGAAAAGAAAAGACGGAAATTTTGACGTATAGCTATTATGTGATTTCTTTGAGGAAATATATTATTTTAACTGAATTAATTATTACTGCTAATTATGCGGGGGATAGCCACATACCCCCACTCCTTTGCTATGTTATCCAGACTGCTGATGAACAGACTTATATATTTCTAAACACATACATATTATAGATAAATTACACCCAGACACATAACAAATGATAGTATTCACAATTTTTTGTCCTGGGTGGGAATTGAACCCACGACCTCTGACTTAGCAGTCAGAATCACTGACCACTAATCCAACAAGTCAGTCAAGTTTTGACTTTTGCCCGATTGACTGCGAGATTAAGTTGTCTGTGTAGCTAGCTTGGCTATACACAGAGAACACAGATTCTCTAACGATTTTAACGGTTCAGTTGACTTTAGGTAATAATTAAAATCTAGCTAACAAAAACACCTCCTTTCTGAGGAGTGGCCTATGTCCAGCAGTGGACTAGTAAAGGCTGTTGAAGATGATGATGATGATAACAAAAACATCCGTCCGCTGGTCGTGACACTTTAAGAATAGAGTGTCACCACCCCTATTAATCCCTATTAATCCTTGAAACAAACCTTATACCGACCCATCTGGCCAGCTTAGTATAGTAGGCTAGTACCGCCTTTCTTCCGCCTATGTCCAGCAGAGGACTGCTAAAGGCTGTTGATGAACAAAACATACAGCCTTTATTAAGTACAATGATGTTGAAGGCCACTTACCCTGGTGGTAGTTCCATGGACCATACTACCGAAGGGTGCATTGCCCATCACCGTGGAAGTGGTGGTCGTGCGGTATGAACCCGGCTCCTACGCAATGGTAAAGTTATTATAATATATTCATTCAGACCGTCTCCAAACTTTTGTACGATTGTCAAAGTAAGTTTTATTCATTATGTATAATAATGAAATCTTTTTTATATAATACTTGTTTAAAAGTACTTAAGTATTTTGTGTAATTTCTATGATTTTGGGTGATGATAACGAAATAATGAGGTAATTGAATGTTGTATCGATCGACATAATGTGAAAAAGTGATTTTAAAAAAGTCAATCAGCTTGTTATATCTGAATGAAATGTTTTTTTTTTCGCTGTTGTGTATTTCGGGACCCCTTGCGTTCAAAATTACATGTCAAAAATATTAGTTTTCAAATTCTTGTGGTCATGTTAAATAAAAACTAAAAGAATGTTTTTGTATTTGGTCGAAATTTTGGACATAACCTTACAATATATGTGGGGACCGTCGTTTTGTTTTTCTTTAAATATATTGACATAAACACATAAAAAAAAATACATTACCTTTTTATGTTACATAAATAAATTAAACATTAACAATGTGTACATGTAATATGTTCATACGGCACATAATATCTCAAAACACACTTTACAAGTATGTCTCAAACTATTTTTAATGCAACATGCAAAATCAATGCAATTCTTCACACACACATGCTTTAAGGTAATTACAGTTTTAGAAACAACTATTTTAGATCAACTTTTCTATGTCTATCTGATACAAATAAATAAAAGTAAAAAAAAAATATTGTTAATAAAGTACTTAGACATTTTGTGATATATAATTATACTGAATAGAAAAAGGCAATATAATATATTTTTTATAACTTTCCAGACCGTCTAAAGCATTTCCTAAATGTTGCAAAGAATTTATAGTTTCTATAAAACAATAAAGTTTTAGAACCCCATACTATAACCGGTACGGTTTTAAGTCTCTTGCGATACGACTGAACTTTTGACTTTTTACGTGGAGTGACTGCTATCAGACCTACTCAACCCATGTAGTAGGCGATTTTGAAGTTCTGTGGAAACTGTTCTCGGACTTTTTAGGGTATTGCCACGGATGTTCGCATGGCAACCTTGACCGACGGCTTAACGTGCTCGCCGAGGCATGGAGGGGTCTCAGTGTGTCACCCATCCATAGACTGACCTGACTAGGATTGCTTAACTTAGCAATGTGTTAACCCATTCGGTTGCCACTTAGCCACGAGCCCCTTTAGATGATGGCTAATATATTTACAAATATTTACCCTAATAAACAAATATTTTAGACCGGGCGCGCTCATGGGTCATTGTCACATAGCGCGTGCTTCCCCTTTCCTTCCTGTTTCATATTTCTGTACCTTTCACGAAACTACTCTTACAGACTGTACACTACTTTCTGTGATAGGTTCATCATCATCATCAGCCTATCGCAGTCCACTGCTGGACATAGCCCTCTCCCATTGCACTCCATTTAGATCAATTTTTGACTTCTCGCATCCAGCTCCTGTCAGCCATGAATAACTTAAATTTCGTTGTAGATATTGCATTTGCTATTGTATGAGTTTAAAATTAATTTTCAATAGCATGGGGTTTCAAAACATCATAATATTAAACTAACTAAAATGGTGCTTTAGGCATTAAGTTCGCCAAATGTGCACGATATATAAATAAACAAATAAACTGATCAAAATATTACTAGACTATTATAATTTTATCAAGTTTCAAAAATCCACAAAAACACTACTTAAGTTCTATATACCCTGAAAAATACATAAATAATTATAGACACGTTAACATATAAACACAGTGATAGATTATTCAGATAATACTTTGTGATATTCTAATGACGAACACAAATTCTTAGACTTTAGCGTTTTTGATATACAATTATAATACACACGGGAATTAACGCTATCATGGAACTATGTAAGACCTATAAAGTATTATCCCCGCAAATTGCTAATGCGCCTGGCCGCCATTTTGGTGACGTATTTTGTTGACATTGACATTAGACACTCTGTACCGTTAGCATTATTCTGGCTGAACAAAACAAAACACAAAACATTTTGGCTAAACATTTTTCATTTTTTAGATAGGTACCTATTTCCAAGGTGTGAGATTTATTAAATGTCATCAAATATCAGTTTTTTCGTAAAATGTAATCTTACAATAATTGTCATTTCAAATCTGTCAAACTTAATAATTAACCTATTAAATTTACAATTGCATTTCTTTTTTAGCAAGCTGTACTTTTCTATTTTGGATGACGTCACGTGGCTCTTAATGTGACAAAGTTCCTGCGCATTAGCAATTTGCGAGTATAATAATATCGTATAGTTCCTATATATATACATATTATACAACGTAGTTGTGCTACTCCCTCAGTTGCCTACTCCAAGATATCCACCCTTATAGAGAATAGATATGCCACCACTCTAATTTCTTCTATCAGTTGTTACAATGGAACACTTGCCAAAACAAGTCCGAAATAAGATGGGTCTCGAACCCATCACCATTAGGCTCCTTGTTATACCTATCTTCCATTTATAAGCGTCCCCGAAGAAAAACCCCTCCCTAAATTTACTCACCGTGACATAATAATGTCCTTCTCCAGCTCCCTCTTCGAAGTCGATCGGAGTACCAGAGTCGCCGCTACTGATTGAACTCTCTGAGCCGCGTCTGGTAAGCTGCTGGTCGACCCGCATAAATGGTTGGTGGATGTTGGGACAAAAGGAGTGTGAGGTAGGAGATGATATAACCATAATGGTGATGTTTGCCAAATGTTGGCGAAAGTGTTACGAATTAGGACATTACCGAATGTTGTCGAGGTTATAAGAAATGTTTTTGGATAGAGTTTGGTGGTATTATCACATTTGATAATGGCGTAAGGGTTGGTACACCAAAAATGTATGTTAGGAACGTTAATAACATGCCAGGCATTATTACGGTTCACGTACGTCGATGGGATGGGGGAGGAAAAAAAAACAATGTTATTAGAACAAAGTCGTACATGCAATCAAAATACAATGACAGCTTTTTTATTCTAGAAAACCTTTTTATTTTTTTTTGCAGGGAGCATGCGGGTAGAGTTTGAATCCTAAACAGCAGAGCAAGGTTTTTTGCAAAGATCTGCACGCAAGGCATTTTGAATTATAATACGTTATGCAAGTAATTTTTTCACACTTTTCTGGTAGTTTGTTTCTTCGCAAAAACAGTTCAGATAGATCTTTTGAATTCATGCTTCATTACATTAATGTTCTGGTTTTGGTAACCAGATATATTTCAGGTGCATATTCACACATATCGCTTACAGTTTATGTGTAAAATTGATGATATGCATGTGATTATGTATGCTTTCAAGCACGGCTTTGTAATGCAATCTGTTTCAAGCATATGCTTACAAAAGAGAGCAGTGCTAGTCAAACCATTTCCATATTTTTAAAGGCATATATCATGAAAAAGCTGCCACTATCAAGGATTAAAAAATAATAAGGAAAACATCAAATGAGCAAACTAAAGATATTTAAAGTAATATAGAGATTAATGAAACAAAACTCCAGTTACATGCTGGTGGTATGAACGTTTTAACATTAATTTTGATGAAATGTTCAATTACCTGATCGCCAGTGGTCACCATGGTTTTGACTTCTTGTGTAAGAACTCGTTGCTCCTGCCTGGTAGCTGATGAAGTCAGCGTATGCGCAACGGTTTTCTCCTCCATCTGCTGCGTCTTGGCCTTCGTGTCGAGGTCGTGATGGGTCATCGCCGTCCTAGTCGTCACCGCCCTCGCAGTCACGTAAGGACTTTTGCCGCTCTCCATCGGCTCAAGGCTTTCCGCCTAGTTAGGTTAACACTAGCATGCATTTACTATGTACACAAAAATCTAACATTGATACTAGAAGCTCGTGAAAATGAAATTGGAAACAAATTAGGCCACACGCTGTACAAAAAAAAACAGACATTTAAAGTCAGGGTGGCGTCTCGTTTGCCGGTTATTGTAAATTTGGTATTTAGATTATAACGCACCTTGTTGGTATGTGTGGAGAAGGTAACTTCACCAGTGCCGAGGTTTTCAACCTCTTCTTCTACATTGTGTGTGACTCCCTCGTCATTCTTCGTCAGCAACTGTTTCGTTGTCGTTTTGACAACGACAGGAGGCGTCGGGGTCTTCTTAGAACGCTGTGAAATCGGGATTTTTGAGGATAGAGGAGTGGATGACGACACATAGCCCTGATGCCGGATATGTTCGCTCGTTGTGTATTCCGTAAATGTCTTCGGCTCATCTCCTCTCAAAGGACTTTCGTCTTTGCCGAAAGTGGAGAACTTGTGCGTATTTACCGTTTGAATATCAATGTTCGCTGGTAAGTCTTGTGTTTCTTTCTCTATTGTGTAGTTGCCACTCTTGTCTTCGAAGTGTGAGGGATCGATTTGTGAATAGTGGAGAATAAGTTGGCCTGTTACTGGGTCTCTAACGGCCGTGCTTGGGTCGATATCGCCTGTATCTGGATCAATATCTCCGTATTCGGTCTTTATCCTGCCAGTTATGGGATCAATCTTGCCTGATAGTGTCATGGTTTGCGTGACAGTAGTTCTTGCGCCCTTAAGCCTTGGATCATCGGGGTCCACATCGATAGTTTCTCCAGTAATAGGATCGATGATTTGATACAAGTACACTGTCTTCGTCGTAATAATTCTGCCCGTAGTTTCATCAATGGTGCATTCTTTAGGATCAACTTCCTTGACTCTACCTTTCTCATCTTTTTGGGTGATGATGTATATCTTGATGATAATAAGTCTACCTGTTTTGGGGTCAATTTTGCCTAGTTTAGTGTAGATTTCCCCAGTACCTGGGTCTACTTGAGATGCAGAGTATAGAGGTTGGTTGTCCTCATCCACTTCACCAGTAGCTGTATAAATTTGTCCGTTGACTGGGTCCACCTTAATAAGAGATTTATCAACATCATTGGTTCTAACGATGGTACCCGTTTTAGGGTCCATACGACCGTATATTGTGATGATGTAGCCAGTGACTGGATCGATCTGCCCGGCTGTATATACATATTCTCCCGTCTGTGGGTCTTTGGGACCAGCAATCCATATCTGGTTAGTTTTAGGGTCAACTTTGACGTTCTTGGGATCATTCGATACGATTTGTTTGCCTGAAATTGGATCAATTTTATTCTTGATTATTCTCAAGCAAATCATTCTAGCGACATCCTTATCAGGTTTGCCTGACTTCGGATTAATCTGTCCAGTCTTCAATAAGAACTGACCAGTGACGGGATCGACTTTGAGATCCCTGCTTTCATATTTACCGGTCTTAGGATCATTGTAAGTGACAGTGCCTTTCACGAGATCGATTTGTCCATATTTAGTGTCAATCTTATTATTGTCAGGATTTAGTTGACCTGTAGAGCTTTCAACAATAGAATGTTTTGGTTCAATTAGCCCCTTCTTGGAATCTAACTTACCAACAAACGTGGTTACCTCAACTACTGGATCAATATGAGTACCGACGACAATAACTTGTCCAAGATTTGGATCTGGCTTGCCCGTTTTAGGATCTACAACGCCTTTGATGGTTATAAGTCCATTGTTCTCATCGATGTGAACTGGTTTAGTATCAGATGTATCCGTTACAAATATGACGCCATTTGATGGGTCTATAACGCCATATTTAGTTGAAATGTGTCCAGTTTCAGCATCAACTTTGCCTTTAGTATATTCCACAGTGCCTTTCTCGATATCAACTTTACCGGTTCTAGGATCTATTGGGCCTGTGATTGTTGTTACTTCAACTACTGGGTCTTCTTGTTTAGCCACACTTAGAACCATACCCAGATTAGGATCAATCTTTCCTGTTTTCGGATCAACAGCACCCGAATGGATGAAGATTTGTCCTGTTTCGGGTAGTACGATACCATCACGGTTTTGTTTCTGACCGGCAGCATCGGTGACGACAATATTACCAGTTTTAGAATCAATTACACCATACTTTGTTTCAATCAAACCGTTAGGATCAAGAATACCAGTAAGATGTTCCACTTCAGCAGTATGAAGATCAGGTTTCTTTGTCTTAGGATCAAGTTTAGTAAAGATGACCATAATTTTAACTATCTTCCGTTTAGGAGGCTCGGGTGGCGCTGTTGTAGGTTTAACAGGGGTCTTCTGAGTTGGTGGACTTTGGGCATATGCTGCGATAGGTGAAAATGTACGGACAGGTGATTGTAATGGCGTCTGAACTGGTGTTGTACTTGGAGTCTTAACAGGTGTTGGAATTTGCTTGGCAGGCGACACGCTAGCTCTAGTTGAAATTGGAGCCACTTTAGATAAGACATTCTGCTTATCGACTATGGCTAACTGTTGAGCATATGACGGATTTACCTTGCCCGTTTTAGGGTCAACAACTGCAGTTGTTACTATTAAGTTTCCTGTCTTGGGATCAATCTCAGCTTGTTTTAATTCCTGCTTGCCTGTGATGGGATCTTTGTACAGAACCTGACCAGATCTGGGATCGATAATACCAAAGTCTGTATGAATTTTTCCATCTTCAGCACTGACGTAACCTTTAGCCGCTTCAATAGTAGCTTCACCAGCATCGACGGATTTGGTATAGGGATCGTACTTGCTTGTGACAATTACAAGGCGTACTTCACCCTTAGAGACAGGCTTACTGTATTGTACCACCGGTTTATTAACAATACTATACATTTGGACCAGAGTTGGATCTTGCCTGCCTGTTTTGGGATCGATTACATTGTCCGAGATCAACATATGTCCAGTTTCAGGGTGTACTTGAGCGCGTTTGACCTCTTGTCTTCCAGTTTTAGGATCTGTTACTACAATTTCACCAGTCGCTGGATCGATAATACCAGCTGGTGTACGAATCTTACCATCACTGGTAAGAACACCACTAATAGTATCAACATGACCTTGGTTGGGGTCAATCTTTCTAGTCCTAGGATCGTATTTAGTGGTAATTATGACAAGATGAATTTCTCTTTCGATTGGTTTAGTTTCTCTTTCAACTATACTGAATTGCTGTGCTAGAGAAGAGTCTGGTTTCCCTGTCTTCGGATCGACAACACCCGATGTTAAGATCAAGTTGCCAGATATAAATCCTACACTAGAATCAGGAACAGCATGTTTTGTCTCTTGTTTACCTGTCTTAGGATCTACATATTCAATTTTACCTGTTTTGGGGTCAATAATTCCATAGTTAGTATGTACTCTGCCATCAACGGCCAAAATTCCTCTAGAAACTTCTACTCGACCGTTGGGATCATCAAGTTTCTTATTCTTAAGATCATATTTGGACGTAATAATAACTAGCTGCACTTCTTTGCCTGGAACTGGTGCAAAGGTATCTTTGGGTTGGTCTACAATACTAAACTGTTGGCCTAAGTCAGGATCAACGTAGCCAGTCTGAGGGTCCACGACGCCTGAGGTGAGCAGCAAGTTACCTGTTTTGGGATCCAGGGTAGCAACTTTAGTAACTTGTTTGCCAGTTACTGGATCTTTCACGACTATATCTCCAGTAGTAGGGTCTACCTCTCCAAATTCAGTATGTACCTTGCCATCAGCACCCAGCCGCCCAGGTACTGAATCTATATGGGCATTGGTCAAGTCTAGTTTCTTGTTTTTAGGATCATATTTAGTTGTCACTATAACTAAGTTGACGAATTTCTGTTTAGGTGTGTCCTTATCAACAATAGTAAATTGTTGAGCCAAGCTGGAATCTGATTTTCCGGTTTTAGGGTCTACCACCCCAGTAGTCAAAAACATATTACCTGATTGTGGATCGATGACAGCTTGCTTCAACTCTTGTTTTCCTGTTTTAGGATCAACGTAGTCTATTTTGCCTGTTTTCGGGTCTAAAATTCCAAAGTTAGTGTGAACTTTTCCATCACCTGCGACAATGCCTCTTGAGGTCTCAATATGGCCATTAGGATTATCTAATCTCCGGTTTTTAGGATCATATTTACTTGTAATAACCACTAGTTCTACCTCCTTACCAGGTACTACTGTGAATCGGTCCTTTGGTTTTACTACTGCAGAAATCTGTTGCCCTAACGTAGGATCAACATGGCCAGAAACAGGGTCAACTACTGCAGAGGTAAGAAGTAAATTACCAGTTTTAGGATCGACAGATGCCTTTTTGACTTCCTTCTTTCCTGAAGCCTTGTCTGTAATGATAACTTCACCAGTACTAGGATCAACAGTTCCAAATGATGTATGTACTTTACCACTTGAGTCAATTTTACCGGGGACAGATTCAACGTGAGCATTGGCAAGGTCTAACTTTTTATTCTTAAGATCATATTTAGAAGTTACAATAACAAGGTTGACCTGTGCTTCAGATTGTTTAATATCTTTGTCAATAATAGCTATTTGTTGAGCTAATGATGAATCTGATTTGCCGGTTTTCGGGTCTATGACACCAGACGCAATTATTAAGTGACCTGTCTTAGGATCCGCGACGGCTTGTTTTATCTCTTGTTTGCCGGAATTATGATCAACATATTCAATCTTGCCAGTCTTAGGGTCAATGATTCCAAAGTTCGTGTGAACTTTTCCATCAGCCGCAACCACACCGCGAGACGTTTCTACGTGTCCGTTAGGATTGTCTAACCTCTTGTACTTCGTGTCATACTTGCTAGTTATTACGACTATCTGTACCTCTTTACCAGGCACAGGAGCAAACCTGTCTTTAGTTTTGTCCACAACGGTGATTTGCTGAGCAAGAGAGGGGTCGGATTTGCCAGTAATAGGATCGACAATGCCAGAAGTTAGTAGTAAATTTCCAGTTTTTCCATCTACAGTGGCTTTCTTAGTGTCCTGTTTACCGGTGACAGGATCTATGACGACAATATCTCCAGATGCAGGATCGACTATACCATAATCAGTGTGTACTTTATCGCCATTGCTGTATTTGCCAGGGAAACTATCAACATGAGCACTGGTAATGTCCAATTTCTTAGTCTTGGGGTCGTATTTAGATGTAATAACGACTAGGTTGGCCCATCTCTCAGGGATGCCTTTGGGTGCATCTTTGTCAACGACAGTCAGTTGTTGGGCAAGAGATGAATCGGATTTACCCGTCTTTGGGTCAATAACACCAGAAGTAATTACAAAGTTACCAGTTCTAGGATCTACATGGGCTTGTTTGGAGTCACGTTTGCCTGTTTTCGTATCCGTAAAGTATACTTTACCAGTATTAGGATCAAGTACACCAAAGTTCGAATGCACTTTCCTGTCTTTATCACTGATTATGGCGTGGGAAGTCTCAACGAACCCATTGGGAGTGTCCAATTTTTTGTTCTTTGAGTCGTATTTGGCGGTAATCGCAACTACTTCGACTTCCTTACCTGGTAACACTGCGAATGTATCAGTGGGCTTATCTACGATACTATACTGTTGTCCTAATGAAGTATCTAAATCGCCTGTACTTGGATTTAGGACCCCTGATAATAAAAGAATATTGCCTGTTTTAGGATCGACAGTAGCTTGTTTAGTTTCTTGTTTTCCTGTTTTGGTATCTGTTACTTGGATCTCTCCTGTACGTGGATCAATTATTCCATATTCACTATAGATCTTACCATCATTGCCATTAAGAACTCCCTTCACCGAATCAACATGAGCGAATGTGGGATCTAATTTCTTTGACTTCAAATCGTACTTACTTGTTACTACTATTAATCTTACTTGTCTGTTGGCTTTAGTTGCGTCTTTTTCGACGATGCTAAACTGTTGCCCAAGAGAAGAATCAACCTTGCCAGATTTAGGGTCTAAAACACCAGTAGTAACGAGAAGATTTCCGGTCTTCTGATCAACGTAAGCTTGTTTAGGCTCTTGTTTGCCTGACTTGGGATCCACATAGTCTATCTTACCCGAAATCGGGCTTATGACACCGTAGTTCGAAGAAACATTACCGTCTGATCCAACGACAGCTCTAGAAACTTCGACATGTCCATGTGAAGCATCTAACTTTTTATTTTTACCGTCATATTTTCCAGTAATAACCACTAAGTCGACTTCGCGACCAGGTTTGGCTCCAACCTTATCAGCTGATTTTTCAACAAAACAGTATTGTTGGGCCAAAGTAGGGTCAATTTTACCTGTCTTCGGGTCAATAACTCCAGATGTAAACAAAATATGGCCAGATTTGTCGACGTGACCACTCTTAACTTCCTGCTTGCCAGTAGTTGGATCTGTGTAACTAATTTGGCCCGACTTGGTATTGATAAGTTCCTTATCCGTCTGTATTTTTCCATTGCCTTTATTTAAAGTGCCTTTGGTAACAAGGATGGTGCCATTAGCATCATCTAGTTTTTTGCTCTTCGCATTGTAACGACCAGTGATTATAACTACTTGAATTTCGTTATCGGATTTTGCAGCAGCTACTGGTACAGCAACCGCGGCTGCAACAGGTGCTTCATAATGTGCTCTTTCGGAATCAAGCAAAGCTAACGTAGGGTCAATCAAATTTTTAGCTTGTTCTTTCAAAGCAGCTGACTGCACATAGTCAATGCCTGGCGTTTTGAATTTGCTAGGATCTTCAGGTGTTTTGCGTTTTTCAGCACTTTCAGCAACTTTCTTGTCTTCCCCTGGTGCGTAGTTAAATGCAAGGCCAGCTTTTCTAGTAGTTGGGCTTTGACTGGTATCAAGTCCTTTTTGCTTTTCTTCGGAAATTGGTTCTTTTTCGTAACTGAAAGCTCCTTGAATAAAGGGTTTAGATCGTGTAGGGCTTTGTTCAGTATCAGTGTACTCGTAGGGCTTAGTGAATGACGGTTTATCGTCACCCTTTGAGGGGCTCTTTTCAAGTGAACTATCGAGGTTTGAACTGTCGTTTGACGTTTCGAGTAACGCCACAGGTTTCGCTTTAGGTTCTTTCGTTTTTTTATCTTTCGTCTTGGGTGATTTATCTTTTGATTTGTCATCTTTTGGAGATTTTTCTTTTTTGCTACCGAACAGTCCGAATCCCCCGGCCTTTGGGAATAGGAAAAGGAGAAACAAAAAATAAAATAATTAAAACAAAATTACAAAAGTGCTTGCAGTAATATCCGTGTTTGTTTATAGGATATATTTAGTACGCCGACTATATGAAATGATTTGATCTGTGCACAAAGAACAACGGCGCGCTGAATATATACAAATACAAACCAGTATGTATACTGCCGGAGCAAACGGAAATTTAAAAATAAAATTGCATTTGCATTGCATGCATTTCTATTTGCTTTCTAACATTCATATTTACATAAAAAGACTGTGTAATACACTAAGTTCTACTATAGAAATTGACAAATAAATGCTACCGTGCCTACCATTCTTGCATGTATTAAGGGATGGAAATTTGTTTTCTCGTGTATATTATCTTGGATATTGACTCACCTTAGACCTCTTTGGAGTGGTTTCAACATTATTCGTGATACCCGGATCGCTTGTGGTATCAGTACCTATAAAAAACATTAGTGTAAAAAAAATCTTTGTCATAGAATAATCATTACCGAATATGAATCATTATTTCTACTGCCGTCAAATAATTTGAGATAAATAAATAAAACTTCATTTTAAGCTATTGCATAGCTTCTATGGCGGGCCTTCAGCGTGGAGACCGAATCCAGAAATTCCGTAACGAAAATAACCTAACACCCGCCACTTCGACCGGCACAGCAGTAATACTTTTTAGTTTTGACATCTATCGATAAATAGCAGAACTTTTAATGACTTTTTTGAAATATCACGCTTGTCTCTTTAGTTCAGCAACTCGCCTCTAGGTGGCATTGGTTGTGACGCGGTATTTTCCAGATATTTAGAAGATATCAAGTCTCAAACTTATGTTTCTTATTTCAGTTACCATAAACCTATAGTTTCAATGATAAATATTCCTGAATAACCTACATGTATTGTAAGATAATAAAAAAATTTTGAACAATATTAACTTCTCATTTATTTAATAAAAGAAAAAAAAATGTTTTCTTATCGGTCACCACGCTCAAACTTGAATTAATATCAAAGAAAAAAAAACAAAGGAAAAAAATACTGCATAAATAAAATAAATAAATAATTACAATTGCATAAGTTGATTAAAAATGCTATGCAATAGCTTTACCGCGGCAGTCCCCGAGTGCCACACGTCTTTTTTTCCAAAAAGACAACTTCGCACTAGGAATATATCCTGTGCCTTTACGCACGTTCATGAAACGGACACAAAGAACACTACACAAAGGACTACAATTTGTGGATCACACAAACTGTTGTCCCATGTGGGAATCGACCCCACAACACTTTGCGAACTAGGAAGCAGCGAGGAAGGGCGACCGCTTAAACCACTACGCACTGACGAACAGTCTGGATCATAAATACCATCTCAAAAATCTATGTTTGTTCAAAGCAGTTTATCTCTTCCAAATTGATTACGACTTCAATACATACCGTTTTCAGCCGGTTTCTTCTGTTCGGCTATCTTTTCGACTTCTACTTTCTTCTCCGGTGGCGCTGTGGGCATCACTTTCACAGCACCCGGCGGTGGTTTCTGTCAAATTTAAAAAACTTTATTACAGTAATATTCATTACGTAATTTCTTAAATGTATGTTAAGCTACATGAAATGAATCTATGTAAAGTACAGTGCACGTCAAATGTACTAAACCAATAATTACTTACATTTATCTAAAATAATTATAAAGCCGAGGTAGTCATTGAATACTTTTGAAATAAAAAAAAACTACTCTACTATATTTTACATCGGATAGCACTGTATTTATTAGAAGGGGTAATAAAGGGTAATTGTTATGGGACAGGATTGTCACTAAATACAGTCCATAGATGGGTGGTGATGGACGATAAAAACATAATTTCTTATTAATTATTTTTCTTAAATATTAATGAAATGGACCGCATCCTGTGTCATTAGTCCCGCTGGATAAATTTATATCTTGAATATACCCCTATTTGCAAAATTGATTAAACAATAAGTATATACATATAGTGACAAATAGAAATATATCACAAGATTCCAAATTCAATCTATAAATCCGTCTGTTTTAAACGAAAGTTACACCCCCTCCCCACGCAGCCTGATGCCCTTGCAAGGATAACCGCACCTTTTCGAGTCGCTCGGCGGCGGAGTACTCGCCCTCGAGCGAGGATGCGGAGCTGGCGCTGGTGCCGCCCGACACACGCCGCAGCTACTCCAGCAGCGTGCAATGGACACCCACTTATGTACGTAACGGTGCTGATGCCAGACTTTCTACCATTTTTTAATTAACTTGTCTAAAATTCTAATTCTAACCTTTGAAACACCCGGGTGTTATTAGGGCGTTTCTATCGAATAGTTTTATTGGATTTAAATAGAAATGTGTGATCCTACTTACGGACAGGTAAGTGTACATTGGACAAAACGACCTGTGTTTCACTGAATTGAGTCTAATATCGTTTGAAATGCACAATGTATATTCCTTTATTATAAAGGAGCATACTATGTGTTACTTTCAAAAACAACAAACTGTACTGTACACGAAGATCACTTTTTATAATTCCCAACTCAAAAGACAATAAAATGTATACTACCAACGTTCAGAAATGATAAAAGGCGATAATCTGGCAACATCACACGCAATGAATTATGAAATGTTAGTAGAAAAGAAATACTATGTTATTAATTAGTTTAAGGTAAAAAAAATGAAACTTAAGTAACATGCCATCTAGTTGTGTTTGAAACTAAGAGACTACAGGATTATGGAGACTAAACATCACATTACACATCAACAGCCTCTAACAGTCCACGGATGGACATAGAAAGCGCTAGGCTAGCTCTCCTTAGAAAGGAGGTTTTGTCCTACCATGGACGGTAACATATATTCAATATATTTTATTTAAACATAATATACCTACATAAGACAATGAAACGGTATGGCTAAAATCTATACCATCATCATCATCAGCCTATAATAGTCCACTGCTGGACATAGGCCTCTCCTTAGAAAGGAGGTTTTGGCCTACTATACCACGCTGGCCAGAAGGGTTGGTACGGGGTTTGTTTCAAGTTTTCCTTCTCTTTGTAGTGCTGTTGACCTGTGTAGTTTGTTCCTTTAGTCGGCTCTTACGACACCCACGGTATGAATAGGGGGGGTGGTGACATTCCGTATTCTTCATCCGTCACCACACGGATCTATATAAATATATAAAATTTTAAGATGGTTTGTGTACGCTTCAAAAACTCAAAAGTTCTGCAACGATTGAACTTAAATTTTGACACAATCCGTCTGCGTCTCTCAATAGTAATAAATTTTCTCCGTTTTTGAAACATTCTTCATTGGTGCTCCGCTCCTATTGGTATTAGCGTGATGATATATAACCTATAGCCTTCCTCGATAAATGGGCTATCTAACACTGAAAGAATTTTTCAAATCGGACCAGTAGTTCCTGAGATTAGCGCGTTCAAACAAACAAACAAACTCTTCAGCTTTATAATATTAGTATAGATAAGTTGGAGTAAGTTAACATTATATAAATAAATAATAGTCTTCAATGTTAATTAAACAAATAATGTTAATTGTTGTTATAATATTAATGTTAAAAATAATTAATTAAAGATGAGAACTCGTGATCGTGAAAGAAAAGAACCCATGATCTTCGAACGCCTCTTAATTGATCTTGAAACTTGATCAAGTCGTTTCGACAGGTAAACAGATACATTTGTTAAAATTATAACACCACTTTTTGCATTAGGCGTTAATAAAGAGACAAAAAAATAAAACGAATTAGTAGTAGAAAGTAGAAAATTAAATTATTAAATAACCGTCTCATAAAACTCATTTGTAAAGAAATGTTAAAAACAGATGCAGAGTAAATATTTTAAAACTGAATAATTCGAGAAATCATTTAAATTCTTCACCCGAACAGTTATCCAAACAGAAATTCTGATATTTTCTGAGAAACCTGTGCGCTACTCATCAACATAATGTACAAACTAAACTAAACAATAAACTGCTCGTGTGAAACATGCTAACATTTACACACAGTACTCTTTTACCAAGCTTGCACTTTTATTAAACACTTATGTATTACAAGGATGTCTGAAAACATTCAGGTCCGAAATATGCTCTAATCAGGAGGTGAATCGACCTGGCGAATCTGTGTTGTGACATCAGATATCCCCGTAATACACCCTACATCAGGGAAGCTTTTATTCTGATATTTCGATGTTACTACTATAAATAAAATATATATTATTTAGTGTGTTGACTGAAAGTGAAAAGGTGCTGTTTGTTTTATGGATATTTATGTAAGCATTGTTATATGAACTTGAAGCCATTCTGATTAGCTACACGGCAAGACACAAAAAGAGAAGATACAGAATGGAACAAGCGAGCCTTATGATACATTGATGGTACATCTGATATCTTAATCTAGTGATGGAAAATTTTAATCACTACTGTGCCTTGGTTATCATATCACACATCACATCAACAGCCTTTAACAGTCCACTGCTAGACATAGGCCTCTCCTTAGAAAGGAGGTTTCGGCCTACTATACCACGCTGACCAGACGGGTTAGTTATAGAGAAAGATAAATGCCATCAAAATCAATGAAAGTTCTTTTTATCAAAGACTAAGACCTTTTTTTCTGGCTTCTGGCGCTAGAGTAATCATAATCATAGGTAGCACCGATTTTTTAAATAAATCACAGGTTTGATTATATGATTTTAAGACATATGATTTATCACAGGTGATTGCGATTTATTTCCATCCATATACCTACTATCTGACGGCAAACTATAACCAATAGCTTGTATTTGCCGGTGTCCTCTTACATATTTTAGTCACTTTTGACGAAATCACTCCCACAGATAGCAGGGAAGAGAGAAAAATGTTACATGTTTTAAAGTAAATAATAAAGCGACATCGTAGCCACTGGAGGAGTAGAAGAGGGCTATCAAACACACACAATTTGAGAGCCTTAAAACGGGTACCTTCAGGCATTAAAAATGGGATGATTCGTTTTTTTTGTGTTTTATTTGTACGGATGAATTGGCTTTTGGTGGAAAGCTTTCTAATTTAATATAAGATATTACTTGCTTGATAATTCTAAACTTATTAATGTATCAGTAAAGAAAGAAAGAAAAAAAATCTGTTGTTTTTCACTCTTTTGGAGATGCGATATTGCGTGTTATCGAATAAAATGCACTTTTGTACACCTTTTGTTATTTATATGAGATGCATTATGTTCGCGTATTGACTGATATAAGTACATAAATATAACCCATACATTGAAAGTGTAAACTATAATGAATGAAAAGTGTGTGTTTAAGTGTGTTTGTTCATTTAGCTAAAAGAATATGAATACGAACAAAATCAGAGTCAGAAAGGAACATTATGATGATGATTGTGATGATGATGTTTGTGATGATGATGTTTGTGATGATGATGATTGGTAATTTACCTTATCCTTGATAGTGGGTCGTGCCGCGGGCTGTGGCGGCATAGTGTGACGCTTCGTCGCATCCGGTGGCATGGATTCATCCTTGTCCCCTGCTGCCAGCGCTGTAATCATCGGTATGGATCCTTAAGTATACTATTACAAATCACAAGCATGTGGTTCAAAAACAGGGTTTCAGAGGTAGATTTTGTAGGACAAAGACAGATTTTTTTTTCTTTTTAAAAAGACAACTCCCGCATTAGGAAAATATGCTGTGTCGCGGGGGACTTTACAAACATACATGAAACGGACACAAAGAACACCCAGACTCGGAACAACAATTTGTGGATCACACAAAGTGTCGTTCCATGTGGGGTCTGAACCCACAACACTCGGCGCAGTAGGAAGCGGCGTGGCGACCGCTTAAACCACTACGCCATCCGTGCAGTCAAACAGCTATAAAAGCTTTTCGGTTTCGTTCATACTGATCAAATATTGTTCAACTAACAGATCGTGCCAAGACGACGCTTGTCTTCTATTGATGATTAATAATAATAATATTGTACCACATTCACACAACGCCATCTAGTCCCAAACTAAGCAGAGCTTGTACTATGGGTACTAGACAACTGATAAAAATACATTTATACTTTTTTTGTAAATACATACATATTATTCATAGACACACCCAGACCAATGTTCATGCACACAAATGTTTGACTTGAGTGGTAATCGAACCCTCGACCTTTGGAATAGCAGTCCGTTACACAAACCACTCGGCCATCCGGTCGTCGAATTAACAACTCAATACAACTCGACTGATAATTTTTTGCATTAATCAGAACCCGGTAAGTGTGTTTTATGCAAATAAACAACCATACAAAGTCTCCGAGGGAAAACGGTTATTGATATCTTTGTGGTGACATTCAG